AGGTTAGGCTTGGTTAGGTCATGTTAGGTTAAGTTAGGTTAGGTTACGTTTGGTTTGGTTTGGTTAGATTAGGTTAGGTTTGGTTAGATTACGTTAGGTTTGGTTAGATTAGGTTAGGTTAGGGCCCCGAGTGGGTGGTTTCATGAGGTAAACACAAAATACTGTCCACTGAAAGCTTAAGTCAGTCAGTTAGATGCGTTCTCACGTTTCCAGTTGGGTGAAAATATTTACCGCGGGAGTTTTGACGCTGTTAAGTGTGTAGGGCGGGGTAAGGGCTGAGGTAATAGCGTACTAATAGACTTATTTAAGCAGAGGGGAGCAAAGATTTACTCGAGTGTGAGGGGGAGGAGAGAGTAGGGGAGGGGAGGGGAGGGGAGGGAGGTAGACTCTGTAGGGAGGCAGAGCAGATAGTGGTGTAGGGAGTGTGTGTGTGTGTGTGTGTCTCCATCTAACAGGAAAAAATTCTTTTAGTTATTTCTGTTCTACTCTCACTCTATCTCCTTGTCTCCGTCTTCCCTTCTCCATTCCCAATTCTTATCCTCCTTCTCCTTCCTTCACTTTCCCCTTATTCCCTCACCTTATTCCTGCCCTCTCCACCCCCCCCCCTACCCCAAGGTGTGTCCAAGTGCTGATCATAGCATTATTGAAACCCGTAACAAACCTCCATATAACCCCCAAGTACGTAATCGGGTCAAAAATATGCTATCCCGTAACGAGGTAAAGGGGCAGAATATGGTCCATTTGTTTTAGGGGGAATATTTGACCAGATTGGAAAAGTACCTCTTCTTATCACTTCCTCCTTTCCCTTCTCGTCTTTTCTTCGTCTTCTTCCTTGTCTTCTTCTTCTTTCTTCTTCCTCCTCCTCCTTCATATTGCTCCTGCTACTGCTCCTCTTCCTCCTCTTCTTCATTCCTTCCTCCTCCTTTATACTGCTGCTCCTTCACCTGCTACTCCTCCACTTCCTTCTTCTTCCTCTTACTCCTCCTCCCTCTTCTCTTCCTCCTATTCCTTCCTACGTATAGTTTTAGGGGAAATATAAAGGTGGTAACATCAAAGGTCAAGCTCACATAGGAATCCCAATCTTCGCTCAAAAGGTGGAAGTATAAACGATTGAAGACTCCTCGAGGAAGGTTGGGTGTGGTTATAGGATTTATAATTCTCTACGACTCGAATTTGTTTCGTCCGTCTATACTTTTTGTTCTCAGTTCATACATATATACATTTCGTTCGAGTTCGTTTGTTTGGTTTCTGCATCTATACTTTTCCCCCCTGAGCCAACGCCCCTAAAAAAACAAATTTCTCACCACCTTGTTTGTTTGGTTTCTCCGTCTATACTTTTTCACCCCTTTGAGCTGAAACATGTCCAGGTGACCGACTGTTCCGGACCCTTTTGAAGAGGCATCTCCCATTGTTGAGAAGGGGTGGAAAAGGGGCTGAAGATGACGTTAACACTATTTCTCGGAAGAGGTGGTGAGAGAGAGAGAGGGAGAGTAGACAGAAATATGTAAATAGAAATAAACAGACAAATATATAAAAAAGAGATGAGAAAAGACAAACAAAAACAAATACATATACAAAGACACACAAGCAGACAGACAGACAGACAGACAGACAACTAAAACAAAGAATAAAATGGTGATACAGAGAGACAGACAGAGACAAAAACGCAGACAGGAAACAGACAGACAGACAGACAGACAAGGGAGACACATAGACTGCCCCCCCCAAAAAAAACCATGGTAGCAGAAACGAGATCTCTCCCTACTAAAGAAATGGACCCCACTAAAGGAGATGGCCCCCGACATGGAGTCTATAAGGGCCATTTCCCGTGACCCGACAACGATATAAACACCCTTAAGGAACCACGTCTCTAAAATTGATGAGTTACCCCGTGTTTAAGAAGCCTTTGTGTAACGTTTTCTTTGTTGATTTCACCAAAGAAAGGAATTGTTGAGAAAAAAAAATTAATATTACAAAAAACTAAGGGATCGTACCGTACTTAGTGAGAGTAAAATGTACTCAGGCTTATTCCGTTACAGTGTTTGGGAAGTTGAGTACGTTTAGTACGTTCACTTTTCACTAGGTACGTTCTCTTATGAATCAAGAATATATTAAAAAAAAAACCATTCTCCCAAGAGTTGTGTGTTTCTTTAAAAGCATCGCGCTGTGCCATTATGAGACGTGTGTGTGTGTGTGTGTGTGTGTGTGTGTGTGTGTGTGGCGGAAGAACTATCTCCACCTTTGTGTGTGATATCTGACGCCAGACCCACGTGGCCGGAAAGCAAACCAATGATATCTTAACCAAACCAACCACAACCTAACCTAACCTAACCCCCTCAAACAAACTATCTCTCTAACCTAACCCTGAAAAAGACAAAATCTCCTCTCGTCCCCTTCTATCCCTATCCTTACCTGCTGTTCAACCTGGAAATAAAAAAAAAGGTAAGGGTCTCATATATATAAAAGGTTTACACAACGGGTAAACGTTTGCCAGGTAATAAATTTATCCATATTGACAATCGATTAAGAAGTCTTGACTGTATGTTCGTAAATATTGAGAGAGAGAGAGAGAGAGAGAGAGAGTCGATACCGGTCTAACTCAATCCTTTCGTAACCAACCTCACACACACACACACACACACACACACACACACACACACCATTAAAAGATTACACAAGTGTACCCTGACCGTATTAACTTTTTCCTAGCAACGAAAACGATAAGAGAGATCAGCATGAAAGCATAAACTACTCTATATTGAGCATCTTACCTGCATCTACCTGTAATATAAGATAATTAGACTGTAATTGTTCTTCTCTATAAATCTACTTATGGGATGGTATAATCGTTCCCTATAAATAAACAGACTGGGAATGTTGGCTTAAATGTTGTGAAAATGTTCGATCGAGACCAATTGGATAGTTTTAAAAGTAAAAAAATCATAATATATCGTTCATGTCATCAGCCTGATTCAATGTTTCTTATATACCGAGATGTGTTTTATTTAGTGTTGTGAAATACCCGAATTACCATAATATTTACTTTATCTTAAATGATGCTAAAGTAACGTATCTAATTAAGGTACAGTTTCAGCTTATTTGTAACTCCCTTTTGGACTTAGTTTTCGTGTTATGAGTCAATTAAATACATAAAAATATTACAAGTTAAGGGAAAACATTAATAACCTGCGAATCATGATTGTGTTAATATAAGAAACTGTTAACTAAAACTTAAAATGAAACTCGAAAGAAACTGAGCCTAATTCATCACTACAGAACCGTATATATAAAATAAGAAATGATCAAAAGAAAATTGATATAATTCACTTTAAGTCTTCACAAAGGTTTTCTTGATTATATTTGTACCATAAGTATTGTTAAGTATAGAAACAATACCTTACTAAATTTTGAATAATAACATTTTGCCTAAAAAGTAACAATTTATCCAAAGCACTCGTTTCAGAATCTATGTAAAGTAATACTAATGAGTAAATATAATGGTTAACTACATTTTACTGTGGGAATTTAAGCTACGAGTTAATATGATGTTAAATTCATGACTATTACATATTACAGCCTATTACTAAAGCTTCCTAACCTAACCTGACCGGAGCTGATCTAACAAAACCATTTATATCCTAAAAATTACTTAAAATACCGAATTACCTGGATAAATTAAATATAAATAACGTTCTATATATATATACCAACATTCTTCCCGGTCCAAATTATACTAAATGGAATAACTTACCCACGTTCTATGGTAAGTTACTCCTTTCTCTCTTATTTCACGTTGATCTTGGTTTGTGCACCTGTAGGGAGCTCATCTAGGTATTTCAGAGGCTAGTTATCAGTCGAATAGAGGACACTGGTGCATATAAAGTATAAAGTATTAAAAAAACCCAGTGAAGATGTCTTGGTTTAGAGCTTGCTAGTATCTCCCGCCATCTGATGCTGATTAAATGTTGTATACCTTTTTAATTCATCTCTTATTACTATTTATTTAATATTTGAGCTGATATATTATTTTTCTATTCTGGAGAGAGGTAAACTTAGATCGATAAAATAAGTAATGAGGAGTATGAAGTGAAGAAGACCTCTTTTACTGTGTAGGATCAGTCCATTGTTTGTTATAATTTTCTCTAGGACTGTTGTGAAGCTCAGTACTGTTAATGACTCACAGGTTGAACTGGTAGATCATTCCATTGGTCTACCAGCCTCTGTGTGAAGGTGTATCTCCTTACGTTCCTTCTACCAGATTACTTTTTTTTTTTAACGGGTAATAGCTCACCCGGGTTATGTCCTCCCGTGTTGGTGCATGACACGCTGCCTCCTGTACTAGCATTACATGACACGCTGTCTCCTGTACTAGCACTGAATAATAAAGTACATAGTAACATAGTTCAGCCTTACCGCCCGAGCCACTAGTGAGCTGATAAGTAGAGAAATGATAAATTAAAATATAGTTCATGAAAACATTACCAGAGATAATGAGCAAGACAAACATTTTCTTTAAAAGGAAATACCGTACAAAATAAACAAATGATATATAGCTTTAAAATGGATAATTAGGGGAGGAAGTAAAGGGAGTTAAGGTTATAATGGTTATATAAGAGAGTACTACTAACACTGCCAAGACACTTCAAAATATACTTAGCTATCTTTAGAGTCATCTCCTACCTATAGTATAAATTCTATTTTAGATTCTATAGATAAGTATATAATATTCATATGATTCCAAATACTTAGAAAAATTATTCAAGGTGCCATATTTTTATCTAAGATATATTAGATACTTAAGAAACAACATGGGCAAATTCTTGTTAACCCGATTTAGAGTAATAAATAGTTATTAATAAGATAAACATTATTATAATATGATATAAATGAAACGCATTGGAGCATCTTTTATATTTGAATTACATATTTTGTTATTAATGAAAACATGATTAAGATAACTTTACTCTGTAGAGACGCAGCCTTTGTTTGGCCCAGGCAGTCATAGAGAAGAACCCGCGGGGGGACGGTACAACTTGAAGCTTGAGTCTTAATAAACCACTAAAGTAACTCAACTCTGGCGTGTGTTAGGTAATATATATCCTGCTGGTGTTTCTGCAACTGTTAGATAGTAAGAAGTCGTATTTGGATGATAATACTGTGTAGTTGGTGAAGTGTGTTGAGGTGAAAGATGGACAGAGCTGACAGATGAGGACCATTGAAAGGAGGGAAGTTGTTGTAGGTAGAAGCATGGGGTGGTGGTGTGGTGGTGGTGTTGGTTGGCGATGGTGGTGTGGTGGTAGTATCGTGTAAGACATGTGAAGGCTGTGTGATGATGATCCCAAGTTCAGTGATGTTTAGTTGTGTTCTTCATTCAATGTCTCTGGTATATATACTGTACATTATGACTGGGCTTTATAAATGTTTGTTTTCTTCAGGATTTTCAAATAAAAAACAAAACATTATTTCGCTGCACATTATTCAAATCCGGTGTGAGAGTGAGGAAAAATAATGGTAATAATTTGGAACGTGTCAGCAGGGAAACCAACAATTTAGGAAAAAATTTGTTTTGAAGATAACTTCTTTCTTAGCTCAAGAAAATACCAATAAGATGCAAGAAATTGCACATTTTTTTTGTAAAATTATAGTTTCAGTCCTCCCTGTATTTAGATATCCAAACTAATCTAACCTAACCAAATTAACCTAACTTAACCTAAATTAATGTAGCCTAGCAGGAGGGGCTTCGCCCCCCCCCCCCCAGACCCCCATAGATTCCCTGGATAACCGAAACTAAAATAATATAATTTTTTTCTTAATTCTTGTTACAAGTAATGGACCTCCATCCACTACATACATAATATACGGTACTTTTACTACAGACGGGCAAGGGTTAACCAAATTGAGGTGTATAAACGTCTCTCGGGTCACTATTCAGTCGATTGTACATACCTGGAGCTGGCAGACGCTCGCCCCACAAGGGGTCACAGCTCAAGGTTGAAGAAGCCACAAGTCCAGAAAACTGTGAGGGCAAATTTTTTTGGAGTGAGTGTTGTGAACTCTTGGAACAATCTGCCAGAGTGTTGTGACGGCACCGAGTGTGAGCTGTTTCAAGGCTAGACTTGACCAACACTGGAGCAGGTACAGGTACATTCAGGAGCCGGTGCATGCCCAGTACTTGCCAACGGTGCGTAACAGAGATGTGACCAATCGCCCAAGCGGCTAATGAGCTGATCAAGGGCAAAGAGGATAAAAGTAAAAAAGTAAAATTAAGCCAAGTTAAACTTAATGTACGTACTTCTGTAGCAAGATAACTACCGTAGTTAAGTACCTAACTACTGTAATTTAGAGCCTAACACATTTATACAGTACCTCCAGTTCTCTGTTATCCAATAAATTAGATCTCATAAGGTATTTAGCTATAGCTATGATTTAAATATTTTGGTGATCTATTTTAATAATGTATTTTTATTTCATTTCAGTATACTGTACTGTATCGATAAAAGGCAGAAGTCCTGTTAACTACTGAAGATGAAGAAGGGAGGGAAAGATTCTCGTCAAAAGAAGACTTCACCAAAGTCAGAAGCACTGTCTCCGGACATGAGGTCTGTACTCTTCAATCCCCAGTTAAAGGAAATTAACAGTACCTCCTCAGTAGTGGTACCAGACACACCTCCCATTTACCCCAATATAAGTTCGTCCATAGCTTCCAGTGTGCTTTCAGTTATGGAAACTCCAGATATGATGGACAGTAACTCACCAAGAGAAGATGATGGTGATGTAAACATTAGGGAACAGGTAGAGAGGGCCAGACCTGCACAGAGAGTTGGTAGTGTTCGTGAGGAACTTGACGCCTTTATTGACACCACTCCTGACCTTAATTTAGGGAAAAGAAGGAGCCTTGTCTCCATCTTGGAGTCTGAACATTCCTTCTCAAACACTCTACAGTCACAAAAAATGAAAAATAGTTCTATGGTTTCTGGTCAAAATAAAGTCAAGAAATCAAGGAAAGAATCAACCAAAGAAATTGGGAGTTTTTCACCCCATAAAGGAAGAAAAAAGAGAATGTCTCTAGCAGATGTTATATTACCATTTGATCTCAACAATACTAGAATGGTCTCCAACAAACTTGGTAACATAAGAGCTAAAGAACAAGAGAGAAGACAGTCGATGAATTCTCCAAGAAGATCTACGCCTGCCAAGTCGAGGAATTCTCCAAGAAGATCTACGCCTGCCAAGTCGAGGAATTCTCCAAGAAGATCTACGCCTGCCAAGTCGAGGAAATCCTCTCTCACTCACGCACTCAGAGAAGATGTTGTTGAGTCTAAAAATGATAAGAACGCAACAATAATTTTTGATAGTGAAGATCTGGCTCTAACTCCAGTCTCTAGTAGCAGTCAGAAGACACTGGAGAAAACACTGCATGGTATTATAGGTGGGCTAGAGTCTGATAAATTAGATGAAACGGAACCTTTAGGACGGCTCCAACCTCTTATGGTAGATAAACAAAAATACGAGCTCCCAATACTTAGTTTACAAAGCTTGTGTCCATCACTTGATACAAGACTCAGTGGACCAGTGAAGAACCAGGAACAAACAAGAGACTCACTAGCAAGAAATAATGCTGCTAGAAATGTTCCTGATGAGCAGAACAAGACGAGGCCAAAAGGAACATCATTACACAGTGCTAAATGTACCGATGAGACAACGAAAGATGGTTGTGATGGTACACCAGGGCAGCCTCCAAGCCCTAAGCCAGAATTGGAGTCAATTTTACAAGGTGAGGGTTATGTAAGATGTCATAAGTTGCATTATTGTCTGGAGTATATTCACAAAGTACAATTTAAGACAACTGGGTTTAGATTTTTCACTCAGTGGATCATTGCAGCTTGGATACAATTACTAGCTAGTGGAGATGGATGAACATTTGTAGACTTAACTGTAAATCTGGAATAATTCATAAATAACTCTTAACACTGTATCATGTCGCCAGGTCTTGTTGTCTACGTTGAGGTGCGCATGGGAAGTGACAACCGCTCTTCAGTTATTAAAGACCAGCTGAGATCCTTGGGGGCGGACGTGCGAGAGAGACTGACTGTAGACGTCTCTCATGTTGTCTTCAGGGATGGTTCCAAGGTTTGTGTCAAGTCATTTAACTCTTATACTCCTTACCTGTGATACTAAATGACTCGGTGGGATAGTTTTACTTATAACTATTAAACCATTGTCAAGGAAACAAGTAGACTGAGTCAAAACTTCATAAACTGTATAGTGTTAGTTTGTCATTGTCTGCACTATAAGCATTATGGTTATGGAAGTTCGGCCATATTTAATTTGTAAATATACGACCATTAAAGTAAAAATATGTAAACAAAAAATATCTTTTAATGTTATTAAGAGGGATTATCTCAATCTTTGCCTCTGAGTATTCTCTACATGGTTCCTTTTAGGCCAAATTATTCTTTTGTCTTGTTTGACAGTACAGTACCATAGTCAGTTGAGCAAAACAAAAATATCTGTATGCCTTTTTACTCCTTGTAAGTAGCTATTACTTAGGAGTACTCTATCCCACTAGGGTAGCTGTGTTCTGAGCACTAGTCTGTTCAGCACCTGTGAATTATGGAGAAAAACTTATCCATGTTTAACAAATTTATGTGGTTTTTAGTATGTTTTCGACCAAGCGATGAAACGCGGACTTCACGTGGTGTCGTCACTGTGGGTGGAGGCTTGTCGGGAGAAGCTTCAGCGCGCACCGGAGGCTCTCTTCCCAAGTTGCTCAATGGAGTCTTATACCAAACCCTTGCTTACTGCCAAATGGAGGGTGAGTGACTCGGGACATCCTTCACACCTGCTGCTGCCTCATACCCTTGTGTGGAATTGGGCCCACACACACACACACACACACTGGTCATAAACACACTTGAATTTACTGATCAGAAAGAAATATAAATGTCAAATGGTTAATACAAGCCTTATCTCCATTTATTTTTGTTGATAACTTAATTATGATTCAGTATACTGTACTACTTATATAATTTGATACATCATCATAATACATCATAATTTCTCTTCCTTGCAGTATTTGATTGAAGAAAACATTAACATTCATTACCTCTTACATGTTTTGTGTAAAGAACTACTGTGCTCCTCCACTTGGGTCACTTCTTACACAAAAAGGCACAAATAAGATTCTTCAAATTTTTTTTATAGATTTTATTGATCTTTACACACACTTGGTGACTCCCCAGCCTGTCTTTATATGATATGAGACACTCGGCTGGCCCGGGTGAACTGCGTCTTTACACACACTTGGTGACTCCCCAGCCTGTCTTTATATGATATGAGACACTCGGCTGGCCCGGGTGAACTGCGTCTTTACACACACTTGGTGACTCCCCAGCCTGTCTTTATATGATATGAGACACTCGGCTGGCCCGGGTGAACTGCGAGTATCAGTACAAAAAATAAAATAAAAAATCTGTATGATTCTGTTGTATCTTTGTATTCTTCTCTGGGTTTTAATCATTATCTTGTACTGTATATCATTTTGCCTTTCATTTAAATTTTTTCTAAACTATATTTGTTATGATTTATTTTTGTGAATTTTTCTTTACACTTATGTTTTTCTATAGACAATACTTAATTTGTATAACTGATGTCAAAAATAATAATCAAATTTGGCATATCCACTTAAGCAAAATATTTGGTCTTCAGCTCATCATCTCATGAAGAAATATTTAGTTTTCATATATATTTATTAACCCACACACACTAAGATCACTTCTCTCACAGAAAGTAAAGTCTATGCAACCAAAGGAGTTCTCAGAAGAGGAGGCGTTAGCTGCCAATCGTGCCCGTCGCCGTCACCGCCGCCTGCAGACCCTCGACTCCCCAGCAACTTCATCAAGTACAGCAAGTGATGTACAGTGTTTTACACCACAGTGCAATGCTGCTAAGAAGGAGGTGAGCCACGAAACTGCAAGTGTGTGTGTGTGTGTGTGTAGAAATTGCTCTTATTTGTACCGGAGGTTGTGCCTGGAAATGGCTGGTATGAACAAAATCAGTACACAGTAAATGATGAAAGATTTCCACTGCAAAGGCTTGTTACATGTCCAGCCTTATTTTATAACTAAATAATCACTTGTGTATGACGTCCTCTCTGCTAAATAAAATTATCTGGTGTTAACCAAATAGACTATTAAAAGTGGCGTTGCTGTAGTGAAGGGGTTAATGTATATTTTACTCTCAAGTACATTCTTCTGTTTCTGCATGAGAAGAGAGATTGGTTATTTATAAGTGTAGAGAACTTCAGGGCCTGTCAGTAGCTACAAGTAACTGAGGTAATGTCTGCCTCAGGTGATCCATCAGTTAAAGATTATGGTGTTGGGGGTATAAACTTGACTGGAATATTAGGATGCAAGGAAATGAGATGATTAGGTTGTTTCAGAGCATTATTGAGGAGGGGGAGGACCTTGAAAACAACAGTTAATCCTTGGAACTAAAGAATGTTTGTATTATAGGCGGTTGACTCCCCACTGTTTGGCATCAGTCATCTCCTCACCCCACAACGGCGGAGCTCTGGATCCTCATCATCAAGTGAGGAGGAGGAGGAAAACATTACAGGAATTGACTTGCCAACAAAAATCAGCACCCCACTTGTAAAGCGCCTCTATAATAGGTATGTACGGGTCACTACTTATGCGTATGCCCAACCTCTCTCTCTCTCTCTCCCTTTCTCTCAATGAAATGAAATACATATAAAGTAAATATGAATTGATTAATTAAATAAAGTATATTACCTTATGTCCAATGGATGACTGTCATATCAGAAGTGGTTGGAGGAGAGGCATAAAGGCTGTAGTAGTCAGAGAAGGTGATAGTTAATACAACTCTTTCAGAATTATTCACTGAAAAATGTGTTTGAAAGTTACAGAATTAGAAGTCTTAAGAAATTCAAAATTGTGAGAATGCCACTTGACTTATACAGACATGGAAACAAGTGGTGAGTGAGTGAAGTGTTGTGAGGAAGATTATGCTTACATCTTCTTGCATTTAGTTTGAGGGGGAAATGGCCCATATAGTATAGAAGGTAAGAACTGAATTATCTGACCCACTTTTAGCTTCTAATTTATAATTTTTCTTTTCAGGTTTATTTCTCCGAGATCAGGCAGTAACAGGAGAACGATCAATAGTGATAAAGAAAGACAGGAAAACCCCTCCTTGAACTCATCATGGGAAGATCTGTCTCATAGAAATAAAAATGAGAAATCCGAGAGAGAAAAGACAAGTAGTGTGGCCTTAGATAATTTAGAGTGTCAGATGACGTTCGGAAGCAAAACACTTTCAGAAGAATGTGTAAGATTGAAGTTACGTCTAAGTGACACCAGCGCAACGAACAGTGAGAGTAGTAACGTTGAGGCGATGGAAATGCCGGTTAGATTAAGTTCAAGTCTATCCAGAGGTGAAAGTACAAGTAGTGTCGATCATGCTCAAGGGGACACACAGCATGTATTAGAATTGAGGCCTAAAAGATCCTGTAGAGTAAATGGAAAGTTAACTAGACTTTCTGTAACCAATAAAACTCTATCTTCAGAATGTGGAACTTCAAAAGTTAGGGAAAATACAAGTTCATTCACGTCAGATTCCAGCCTTGAAGATTTTGAGCATGTTGATAAGCCAAACCTCAGTTGTAAAAGAGTTATAAGCTTATTGTCAAGTTCAGAGGGATTTTATTCTGACCGTATTGATAATTCTCTTTTAAATAAAGTTCCACGAAAAAGAAGGTGGTTACCATCGTCAGGAGAAAGTATTTTAGGAGATGTAAATACTACTTCAAGTACAAGTTGTTTGGCCATTCCACAACAGAGTACTTGTGAAACAGGTCTTGAAGACCCTCAGTATAAAGGGAGATTTACCAGATCAAGGACAAAGTCTAACAATAAGATTAAAGTCTCTCCAGAGAAAATCCCTGTGGAAGGAGACGGAAAACTGGCGATAGATTCAAAATACAGAAAAACAAGCCATCAGACACCACCGAAGAGACAATCTACTTCATCTGTTTCTAGTCATAAAAATACCAGGAAGAAGAGTAATGGAGAATTAAATGATGATTTACACAAAGAGAAGGAAAGGTTATCTCCAGAGAGTAAAACCCATATGTTAGATAGTCAATTTTTGCTCTCACAAGGTTCTCAAAGTACTTCTTGTCTCAGTTCCTCACAGGTTAGGAGGAGGAAACTGCTCTGCATGGATACAATAGTGGCATCTCAGGAACTCATAGTGCCAGTTACTCCTGAAGCTCATACAAGAAAGGAAGGAATATACACCAAGTTAAAAATCAAGGGGAGCACAACCCAGCGAGCAGCCATGAAGAAACAGAAGGATCACTCCACTATGCCACTCCCACGTAATAGCAAAACATCAATACACGGAAAAAACAAATCAGCCGAGTCTACTTTCTTAACGGAAGAGACTAATCCCAGTAAATCATTGGGTAATATAAGTAAAATCCTGAAGAGGTCAAAGACTTCATCTTCGTCACAAAACCCGTCGTGTAAATGGCCCGAGTCAGAGGACGACAGCGTCTTTAGCTCGGAGGAGGAGAGAGTGTCCATTGCCTCCAAGATCCTGCCAATACCACGAGATAGAGACTCGATTGAGGAATTTCAGAATGTGATGGACTTGAGACCAAGGCCGGAGAAGCCTAAAACCATGATGGGTGCATCAATATGTTTAACCAGTATCCACTCCAAGTAAGTAGCTACTCCTGGAAGATTCTGTTGGTTTTCAGGTGCAGTACATGATGATGGTACATAGGCAGTGGTAAGTTCAGAGTTGAGGTGAGAAGAGAAGTGACATATAGAAGTACGAAGAAGGAACTTATGGGAGGAAGTTGTCAGTAGGGGATATAAACAGGTGTCCCATACATTGAATAGTGTAAATTATGTACTAAGATGTTTTAGAAACTTTTCATTTATTGTTTATGTTCACCTCATAGCCTCCATGTTGGTGTACACTGATAAACTTTGTTCTGTCTGTGTCTTCAGATACTACTACTACTGTTCATGAACTTCAGTGGAGAAATTAGCCTAATAATGTATAATAAGAATAGTTTCATGTACAGTAATGTATTATTTTTCAGGGGACAACTTTACACACATACAGTTAAACCTTAAAAGCGTAGATGTCGAATGGTACCTTAGAATTCCAGAAAACTTGAAACCCTATCAAACCCAAATGGGCAATTTTTTGGTATAATTCCGATAAATAATTTATGCTAGATATTGAGAATTTTGTTACATTTAATTCCGAGGTATTGATCAGGTGGTTATCAGTCTGTTATGTGTTCCCATGCTTCACACATTTCACTTGCATGTTTGGTGTCATACTTGGCAATTTATGAGTAACATCTTTCTGTTGACATCTGGCTGTACTGGCCAGAACCACTGTTAATGTCTCAGCAAGAAAGTAAGTTTGAGTATTGCAGAAAACTTTGTACCTGTACTGTAATCATTGAACATTCTTGGTAAGGTAAACATGCTCAGAAAAATTGCAGCAAACAATATTAAGAAAACCATAGTTTATATTGTATGGCATTATCAGGTTATTTTATGATTGTTTTAATTATTTTCAAGTGCATGTAATGTAAATTTATTTGTATTGGTGTTTTTAAAAAAATACAGTACAGTACAGCTACAAGTAAAACATGACTTGGTGTAGTTTTAGTCCCATAAACTATCAACAGAGAAATTGGCAGTCTTGTTCCCATAATCAAGAAATTGGGAGGTTTCCAAGTGATAAACACTGTGAACAGCAGCACAACACATGTAGTGTGTGGTGAGACCCGGCGCACCATGAACCTCCTGCTGGGTATAGCCAGGGGATGTTGGATATTGGATGTGTGTTGGCTGTACCAGTCCTTGGAGATGGCGTCTTGGGCACCAGAGGAACCATTTGAACTGTTTATATTCTGCCCTGGTGCTAAGGTATTAATTATTTATACATTACTGTCTCGTCTTTTTTTCCAAACCTCGATAGTATATCTAACTTTTTTCTTTCTTATTATTCCCAATCTACTGTAAGCTTCATCTCGATAACACGTGGGTCTAGGTTTCCATTCCTATTTGTAGCTATGGCTTCTACTCTTAATGAATTACAGGTAACTGGTATTGCCGATCATTTTTATTCCATTAACTCATCCTTGGCCACAGTATATACTTATGGTAGAGGACAGGTCCTTTAGCTACTTATAATAGGATTTGTATTGAGGATTACCTGTAGCTAGCGGTGATGGGTTTTCTTGATCCCCATTACTTCTCGAGTCACCTTTACGGTTTACTCGCTCCAAAACGTATCTACAGAAGGTCTGATGAATTTAAAAATGAACCTGTGGCTCCAGTCGTCTCAGTCGGGTTGTCACAATCCTTCATCCGCTGTGTTGTATCATCTATCACAAAATCGTAAAGATTACTTTTTGGAGTGCGTGTACACAAGTTCAGAGAGTCTTTTCTTTGTAGTTCAACCCATGCTTAATTTTTTATATAGTGATCTATTTTGCTGTCATTCTGTTTATTTCTATTGTGCATCAACAGGGGGGGGTACTGTATATTGCATGTAAATGTAAAAAGCAAAGATTAACACTGTCATTTGGTTGTAAAGGTCACGTCTCAAAGGTATTGCTTTGTGAACTACAGAAGTACACTAATGGCGTTGGATCTTTCATGATTTTTTTTAAAATTGTGGATGGGCTAATGTAGTTTCTGTACTAACCCTGTTATGTGCTTAATTGGTCTTAGTTGTTAAAGTGCGGTGCAGTAATAACATTATTTATACTGTATAACATCAGCATCAAATATTCTATCTCATACAAATATTAGTATAGTGTGATGGTTGTGTGTTGTTTTAAGGCCGCTCTAATAATGTTGTATGAATATTGAGGCCAAAATTAAAGAAAAACTGAATCATAATCATTAGGGTGTAGAGTACTGTATTGACACTTTAATTAATGCAGAATTACAGTCCTTGTCTCATTTTGTTTTGACTAAAATAGGTTTGATATATAAAATTTGTTGCTAAAAATTATGTAAACAAAAACATTAAATAAACTGATGAACATATGGACATGATACTGTTAGGTCAAATTGAACTTAACTGTCAAACTATCGTCACTTCTTGTTGTATGTTTCAGATCTGTCGAGAACAAAGAGAGAATCAGAGAACGTCGTACCAGCAGACACTGTTCTCTGGAGTAGGCAGCATTTTTGTCAAGGAAGGATGTATCCCTCCATCAAAACAACTAAAGGTATGTGATAAATTATAATGCATACAGTATTCTCATTCAAAAATCATTTTCTCATAATTTTTAATGGGATTAACAGTATTTTAATGTAACACTTCGGTACAAAGGGTTAATATGATTTCAGGGGACTGCCAGTACAGGCAGCCCCCTGCTTACAAACCATCAAAGTTCTGAACAATATCCCATTAAAATAGATTAAAAATTCCAACTGAATGTTCAGTCAAAATTTTTTATACCCCCAGTACAGTATGCCAGGAGTACAGTTGTGTTGTGACAGCAGGAGTTTGTTTGCCGCCAGCTTTTATTGTGCTGTGACTGCAGTGCTTCCCTCACTGTGTTTTCCACTACTTGTACTTTAATGTACTTACTACATTTTTGTCCTAATATTGTCCGAGAAAGAAAGAATGGTGCTGGTGCAGTTAACAAGTGTTAGTAGGAGACTGCCTCTTGTTACAGACACTCCCCATGTTATGGATACAGTACTCGCCCCTAAGTTCATTTTTGGGTTGTAGACAAGTATCTGTTGTTAAAGATGTCAAGTAGTGAGGCATAGTGCAGAAGAAACCTGCAGAGTAGGGGCAAGGCGTTCTGTAAGACACCATTTTGCGCTGTCATATTGTTAGAAAGCTATGGTGTGCTTCCCATACGCATCATCTCTAAATTTTCTTTTGTATATCGCCCTTAATTGTGTTGCAAAATGACTGAAAAGTGCCCACGTGATAGTAAGAGAGCAGGACCTGCTCGTTAAATGTGAAGTAATAGATCTAGAGCAGAAAATGAAAGTAATTTGTAAGCAGTATTAAGGAGGAAAAAGTATCGCTAAGATCTCACGTGAACTTGGTCTTGGTATCTCAACCATACACACAGTCGTGAAGGACGGGGCTCATATAAAGGAACGTGTGAAAGGCTCGGTGCCTTTAAAGTCTACTGTACATTATGTGTACTACGTGTGTTCACTGATTACCTATGTAAGGGTCACTTCCGGCACATCGGTTCATAAGATGTTTAAAGAGTTCTCTGTAGGAGTATTATATAATTTTGAGAAGAATGTACTGCTTGTGGGATTATGAATGTTCCAGTTTCTTCTATGCATTAGAACTTTCATTGGGTCATACTTTCGTTAAAATAGTCACATATTTTAACTCTTGCAGGTTAGAACACCCAGTACAAAGAACATATGCAGTCTCTCTTCATCCTCTTTCATCTGAATTATTACTATCTAATTCAAGATTTCCTGCACTTGAGAACTTTTTTCATTATTTCTCCCCTACAGAAGCTGTTACATTTGTGTGGAGCCGATCTAGTCACCGACATTCGTGAAGCAAACTTAGTGATCGGGTCCCCCACTGCAGCATCAGGAGCCCGGCGAGACTTTGCCCAGATTACTCATGTTTCGGAGAAGTGGGCATTGGACTCTATTCAGCAGCATAAAATTCAGTGTATTAATGATTATTCTGTGAGCTAGGCTGTCGACAATGTATTTATTGTGATTGGACCATTAGTTGATGGTAATTTGGTCATTCTTGCGAAATAAGGAATTATCGCTTACCTTTCATCCTCAGCCAAGATCATTGTTAAAAATAAGTAGTTTTACATCAGTACTCTAGAATATTTTCAGTCCCTATAGTAATATTACCTAGTCAAATTTTCTATAATCCTTAATGGAACAACAAATATTGAACACATTATCTTATTTAAAATTTCTAAGACAGATTAAATGTTTTTGTTATTGTTCAGTTTGTATTTTTTTAGATAAACTGATTCAATGTTAATTCAATAGAAATAGAAAAAGATCTACATTTGTGTTGTTGAATCAGGATACAGACGTTTTTAAATCTCCGTATTGTACAGGATTTCTGAATCTTTACAGTGTTAAGACCATAGAACTAGCAGCTTCTGGAACTGTAATGCTCAATATTACTATAGTTCAGTCTGTGACAAAATGGCCAGATTATGATGTTGAATGAGTAAAGATGTTTGAGAGATATAGTGAAAATAAGTTATGGTTTCTCAAATTACTTCACAAGTATAGTATTGATATTTCACACCAGACTTTTTATATATATGTAGAAACATACCATTACAGATACAGTAATTTGTGAAGTTTTTCTCATTGTGTTTATGTCCTACCTTAATGTATCCGGTGTATTGTTGATCAAGTTCTGTATTTATGGATCAGAAGTTTACTGTATTGTGTATGTCTCTGATCAAACAGTTTATATAATGACTAGATATATATATTATTGATTAAAGTCTGTTTATCATTGGAAATATTTAGTTACCCTATTTATTGACTTAAATGTTCATAGTTATATTGGCAGTTCGTCTCAACACGTGGGGATGGAAATTCTGTCAATTGTATTTTGTTATATTTGTCAGAAAAAATATATTTATCATATACTGTACATTACTGTAAATATATTTTATTAAAATATTAAATTAGAACAATTTTTGTTTCCATTTTTATGTGTAAGATTGAAGAATGTAAGTTTTAATCCAGTGTTAAAACATTAAATTCACACTTTTTCATGAACCTCCTCCAACAACACACACACTAACCCATAGGTAGACTCACACCATTATATAAAATCTAGTGCTGTCCAGAGTCTTTGTAACCAAATACACACTTTACTGTACTACAAAAACATAACATATCAAATAGATGAAGCGTTGATTAATGCATGGGCAAACTTGCCACCCGAGCGAAACTGCCATTTTTGTACCATTCATTTCAGAAAGTTTCCGTCTACTGTGACACAAGATGGTATGACGAGTTGGACTTTGGTTTACTGGCAAAATTCCATTGAATCATTTGGTGTAAAACTCCCGGCATCTCTGTGCTGCCTGTGGTAATTTCAGTGTCTAGCGAGAGTAAAGCAAAGTCGAACTCGCCAGTGGCCCGGCAACCAATCACAGCCTACCTTATTCCCTGAGTTAATCAGCATGTTGGGAAGGAGAGTGCCGACCAGTGAGAAGCCCGCTACGTTCTATTTTTGGTGTCCCGGAGGAGGAAGATGTATCTGACGATGATTAGATACACTACTAGCCACCTACCCTACCTTTAGCAGAACATAATCATCTAGAGTGAGTGTTACCATTATTTATTATGTTTTTTACTTAATTACAATATAAATTAATTGTTTTGTGTACAGAACTTTATTATTTCATTATTTTCATGAATGTTAATTTCACATCATTTTATTACTTGACATCAATATGCACCAAAATCATACATCACACTTCATTTATTACAAGGATCATATTCTGCATTAATTCGCCATTAAAATGAGACATTGAACAGAAATGCTGAATTTTTGGAGGTTCTATGAAATTTTTTTAAATGTGCAAACTTTAAATCCCATTTTCTTAAAACTTAGTTTTGGCGCATTTGTCCCTGCATTAATCAACACCTCATATGCTAGCTTTTAACTTCACCGACCAAATAATCCATTTTCCTCATACATTTGTTTGCATGTGATTCTATTTCACACAACTTCTATTTATGTCTATGAGAAATTATTAAGTTTAGTTACAAATGAAGACTTATGGATTAAATTTCAGAATGAATGTAATCTGGTCACAACTCAGGAACTAATTGCAGTCATTCAATTATTCAGTTAATGGTGTTGTGTGTTGAGTTATTATGTCTTGTATTTAATATGTCTCTAAATCATGGCTAAAACATATCCTCCACTCACAACACTAACTGTTGGAAAATGGCCATCACCTACCACCTCCACAATACACAGCCCATTAGTATACTGTAGTGAGGATTGCCTGCAAATACTACTCTTATGTTTTATCCTTAAAAGGCTGATTATAAACGACAACAAGGGTGACTATCAAACAAAAAAATGAACAGCATAAGAAAGTAATCTATCATTAAATTTTATTCTTTCACTCTGTGTTACTAAATCACAGGAATTCCTCTTTGTCAAGCAACTGTTGTAAGACCTGGTTGGTGTTAACATGAACAGGAACCTAAAAATCAGTAGAAATAAAGTCTTATTGTGAAGAACATTTATTCCTATTGATTTTTAGGTTCTTGTTTATCGCGTCCTAAAATATAGTAAATATTTAAGATTCTTTAATAAAATAATAAATATTCCCAAACAACAAGTTTGATAAAATATATCTTTGGTATTGATCAAACATCTTGTCAATTCTATTTATTTTAGAGTATAAAGATTTTTTAATACTATATTGAGCCTTTTCCTTCATATATTTCCCTAAGTATATGATCATCATATGTGGACAACTAAGGTAATGGCTGCTATAAAATACAATACTGTACTAAGCTTTGTCTACTTAAGGTAAATCATCTATGCTTTATTGTTGATAGTTTAACACTCATTTTGTCAAAATTAAAGACACATATATTAAGAACTTTTAAAATTCATGAGGAAAAACAATCACTGGCTGCCTCTCAACTATCACTGCTGAAATACACCAACCATTTATCTTTGTACAGCCTCCTCTCACACACACTGTAACCTCTCACATAAGAAGATTAATCTCAGTCCATCCACCATGACTAAGAGTGACAAGCCTTCCCTTGCCAAAGAAAACCTTGTGTTTAGTCTCAGGACCAAAATAAAATCACAGAGGATACAAGTGCATACAGTCTGGTAATTTTTGGTCAAAAAAAAATGTTCATTTCCAAAGAACTAAAATATTTGGATCCCTTTCTACCTTGTCATTCAGTTCTTTATATGTTAACCCAAACTTACAACATATTTCATCATAAGAGTGTAGTCCATTACACATGGTGTGGATCACACTCTGTTTGGTGGGGGTGTAGTGTGGGTCATCTGGTGACAGCAGGATGGGGTAGCAAAGCAGGCGCCTGATCAGTCCGCGCTGCAAGCCAAACTGTACTAACTTGCGTTCATCTATGTTGAGAGCTTGAGGGTTAAAACGAATGCACAGGTCCCTCACTGTTACTCCATATGTCATGCTGGAAATAAGTACGTAATGTGTTAAGGCGGTGTAAGGTAACCTAACTTAAAATATTTAAGAATAACTTGAAAAATACTTGATTAAAATTAGGAAAAAGAAATTCAAACATTATATTCTCACTGAAGAATTACTGTCACTATTGATAAAGAAACTAGAGTACCTGAACCAATATGACTGTACCAGGAGAAGCAAGTGGAGAATATATTAAGGAAGTTGAATGGTTCTTTGCAAGGACAGTGAGGGATGTATCCTGATGGAGTGTCACCCCCGTTCTGTAAAGGATGAGGATGAGGGACCAGGCATCCTGTCCCTGATAAAACATCCCTTACTCAGAAGATAAAGACTTGATCCACCTTAAGAGTAACACCAAATTACCTGCAATACAGCATCAATATGTGTGACTGCTGTGGTCGTGAAGAAAAGTTTTTACAGACTGCTCTTTGGCATTCATCCTGAAGATCTCGGTCCTCATACAACTTTTGGATGCCAGAGGTGACAGTATATATGTTTGAATATTGGAAGATTGGAAGCAGCTGTACTTGGTCATAATACAATAAGTTTTCTACACAAGCCTGAAATACAAATAAAAGGGTTAATATTCCCTAATACTTCTTTTATTGCCAAACATCTTTACATAAGGTCTTTAACAAGGAGCTTTGCAGGTGATAGCATGTTTTCAGTTATTTTAGTTCTTCATGATCTTTTAGGTCCAATTCAATGGATTACTGTATAAAGTAAGTTACTGAACAAAAACTGATAATCTAGACTTTTCAATTTGTGGGCCTCTTTTTTTCCACCTTTTCTTACTGTAATACAAGGTGGCCAGAATCAAGAGCAAACACAGGCTTACCCTTCATTAATTTGCCCCAGTATATGTATCTGGTTTACCCTCATCACCTTGCACAATCTACCATCACTCAGCCACATAGAGATAATAACACACCATACCTTCACCAGGTTATTCTCAACATCTGCTGCAGCGGCTATCTTGGCAATGTGAGAAAATCCATCTATGTAGGGAAGGACCTGCTGAGTGGTGAGGTCCCAGTGATCTCCACGACCGTACACTCGTTCAGAGATGAGGACTGGTACATAGTGGTCCAGCACACGAGGGGGGTCTGGCCACACACCAACAACCTATATATAAGAATATACACTATCAATATTTGTATGTCTTTATAAGTGACCATACTGTAATTCTGTGACCTAAAAAGCATCATAGTTATATTATCGATATTGAAAGGTATTTTGCAGCTAATCATTATAAAGATTACTACCTTTAAGTGTAAAACAGATGAAGTTGATACATCAATTGATTTACGCCGCATTTTTGACTCGGAGTCTGATGATTTTCTGAATCCCTTGAAGACTGAGTCTGCTTGTCTCTGATCGCTGTACAAACTTAACCTCCGCTCATGCCCATCATAAGTGATCTTCCCTTCACTAGACTGGTGTCGTCTCTCACTCAGAAGACTTGATCTACGTTCTCCCTTTTCCCCAGTCTTACGTTCTGCACCTTCACTTCCACTTAGTTTTTGTTCACTGAGTGTGATGGTGACTGTGCACCTGCCCGTATCATTGAGTCTCTCTAGAATGTGTTGCAGTATACCCGGCATCTGTTCTCGACTGTCCTCATTAGAGAGGAAGCCATTTTCCAGCTCTAAATTTTCTAAATATTCTGAGAGCTTCTTAACAGCCGGCTCATAATGGACAGTTCGAGCTGTTGAGTCACAAACAAAACACAAGTTGAAGATGAGAGCATTTCTTGCATACTTTAAGTTCTTAATTTCATTAGGGTAACCAGTCACCTTGACACCGAGGACATTGACGGTAATAATCCGCTTCAGTATTTGTGGTTTGGGTATGATGTACACGGATATGGCATCAAACACTTCCTTCGTAACATAATTTTCAGGATATTGGTACACAATTTTTGGACCGACAATATGGTGAAACTCGGAGAGAAAAATACTTCGGATTGGGCCTTCTTTCCCAAACTCTTCTGTCATCTTCCTGTAATGAAGAGAAAACAAGGTGTAGACAATAATAAAACACTAATAAATGTACTTTTAATATAACACATAAGTGGTTGAACAGTAATAAAATAAACCACAGAGGCAGTGTTGCAACCAATGAGGTCAACTCTTTAGAAAGGTGACAAACTATGCATACAGCTCAGGCTTTAAAGACTAACACAGGTAGTTAAGGAATCACAACACATGAGGCGTCTTACTACGATATGACTACAGTTAACAGATCAAGAGAACTGTATCATTCTAACAGCATGAATGGTATAGTTATGTGTTATCTTACCGTCGCCTGGTGATATACATTAAAGTTAACAAAGCTTCACTAAGACTCCTCACTCAGACCAAAACAAAACAAAGTCTGAAACACGAAATACAATAAAGTAAACAATACATGGATTAACCTTAATTACTACCTGTATATTTTTTATTTGAGAATAATAAACTTAAAAATATTTAAATTTGAAGCTATATATTACGGTTTTATATTCCATTGTTGAAGCATAGAGTTAAAAACAATATTTCACGCCTGCCTGGACGTATTGTTTTCGCACTTCAGACAACTCCTTCACCTGCAGTAAACACTGAGGGAGGAGGAAGATAAAACAATGAACATACCATTTGGACCAACTCTTCTTGAACATCTTTCATTAAAAAATAAATGATAGATTTAATATCCATTATATATGAGGGAATGTGTTATTATAATTTATATCAAACTTTTCCTGATAATAATGATAAAGGTGTTGATTTTCCTGTATGATAATGTGCAGTTATTTTTGTTGCTTGAATGTTTCATAATTACTTAACTATTTTATCTTTGAAATATTTTCTGAATATAATTATAAGATATATACATAAAGAGTTCTGTTGGGAACACAACAGTGGTGTTAATTCGAATGCCTTCTAAGAATAATAACTTATTTTGGGATCGGTTTGGTACATTCATATCTATATTAAACCCTAAATAATAAACCTAATAATGAATTAAAACAACAAATAATACTAAATTATGTATATATGGTTTATAAATGAAGTAAATATATGGATTTGTAAACACTAAGTCGAGGCCGATGACAGACGAACACATCATATGACGAAGTGCCAAGTGTCGGGGTCAAAACACTATGACGTCCCGCTGCCGCTTTTTACACTAATTATCTGGTAACTACTTATTAAACCTCTGATTTTATATATACTAATTGTTAATATTTAGTTTAATGTCCAGTCTATACGCTGATATAGTGTGTTGGTCATATATGTGATGAGTAATCACTATAACAGTATTGAAACTTGGACTTTTTCCTCCCACCACAAGTTAACAAATTTCATGAAGATTTAAGACATCAGTTGATTTATATTGTCTATGAGTTCAAGTGATATATAGGAGTTGTTTATGGTGGTTTTTAACTTGATATCCAGTGGGTAAGGATGATGGCGTTAGTAGGCAGTTAATGTGGAAGAAAGGTCACGTCCTCTGTCCCCTTAAGGTGGTATTACAACACTGTGTTTCTCGTCACCCAGAAAATTTATGGAATATTTGCTATTTGTCCGGACCTCCTGAACTACCAACTGGTGTATATTTCTCTGGATGATAAATTCTTTCTTACCTTGTGATAATGATGAAAAGTGCATTAGAATATTTTTTGCATTAAATCACTTTTACATTGTTTTTCAGTCTAGCAAGCTTACTCCATCTGCCATGTTGGTTAGGTTAAGTTTGTTAGTTTAGTTCATTCTATAAACAGTAAATTATAGGCTGTAACAGTTCCTGGTGCTTTAGGAATGTTAGTAGTTTTCCACGAACATGCTTTAATTTATGATTCACAAAATGAACCAAATTAATTATCTAACCTAACCCTAAATCTTAGTTATCTTCTACAGTAACACCTCCGTGTACAGTAACACCTCCGTATACAGTAACGGACTTTCTCTCGCCATATAATCCGTTATATGGGGGGTTTCCTATCTAACGGACCCTCGATATAACGCACTTTCATCCTTGTGTAGTTCATTAGAAGTTTCACATCTAACGGACCCTCGTTATAATGGACTTACATCTCTATGTAGGTCGTTAGATGGAGGTTTCACTCTTTTAATCTTTTAGAAAACATCCAAAGAACGGTTTAAAAATTCTGGCAAACGTCCAGTTATGGGAACAAATATGGCGGACTTGATGACTGTGTTACAATTGCTTGCCTAAAAGATTTATGCAAAATGTTAATTATATTATTTTCCAGTTACAGCAAATAAATCATGGATGTTAATGAGGTGGTGAAGAGAGCCAAGCGTGCACTTGATGGCTATATATCGTAAGTTTGATGTATTAAAGTACTGTACTTCTGTCTACTTGTTGTGTAATGCTTGGCTGATGGAATGAAGTGGTTGTGGATGATTACTTGTGATTTCTTTTATTTTGTTGTTAACTTAAATAAGATAAATGAGAACCTCTTTTAATGGATGAAGCTCAGTATAGTATTGCATCATTTACCTTTCATGTGCTGGGTCCCTACATGAACCCTTGTTCACCCAACTAAGAAATAAGTACAGTCTCTGGCATGTATATTCTTCCTTGGTGTTTTAATTATTTTCTTAGGAATTATTTACTGAAGGTCAGACTCCTTCACATGTTGACTTGACTTTTATATACCCAGAAGACTTGCCCAATACTTCATGAGACTGCTGTGTTTCCTTTACTGCATATAACTAAAATCTCTTTAGATTTTTTATAATCTTCAAGGATCTTTTTAAAATAACAGTACTGTACTGTATGACTTTTATGATTCATGTAAAATCTTAAGATAAGGATTGCCAGTATTGCTTACTCCTCAGCAAGTGGTGGTTGCTTAAGCTGGTGTCCGGGAGAATCATCTTGCCTCGAAAACGGTAAAGAAAATTAATAAACCGCAAAGGTTTATTGACATGTTTCAATATAGCTTCTGGAGTAGTAGAGCATCAGGTACAGTCGCAAACCAAAGTCCAGTTGACTCTTTTGCTGCGTCATGAACCCCGAGATTTAGACTCGTGAACCTGAAGCAGTAGACACTGATGCATTATAATGTCCAGAAATGCTTCGGATTCACGAATCTGAATCTCGGAGTTCGTGAAGCAGCAAAAGTGGCAACGGGACTTTGTTCGTGACTGTACATCCATGGAGCTTGGGGTTATGAGTTTCTGTTGTACTGTACTTATCAAAATTTTTAATAGCTGTAGTGTACAAAGTTGTGAGGAAAAACGATTAATGGATTTTGACTTCCTCAGGTATCGCAAAGCACTGTTAGCAGTTCTGATCATACTGTTAATTCTCCTATATTCTGGGCCGTCTATGTTCAGACTAGTTCTCCATACACGACCGTCTCTTGCAGGTGAGGGTAAGTTTGTTTAATTATGCTTTGAGTTTAATTTGTGTTAACTGTACAGTATAGTTATTATTATTATTATTGTCATTATTATTATTACTACTATGCATGTTCTCTTTTCTTGCTTAACATATATTATCATGATAGTTATAGTGTCTTTAATACACTCCATAACATGACACCAATTCAGTGGCGTGTAGTCCATTGAGAAGTTAAGATATGTGTGTCTCAAATCTTCTGCCACTCTTGGGATATTGGGTTAGGTTAATATTATAAACGCTGATTTTGACCTCAAAGGTGGCGAGTGATTAGCGTTAGAAAAGTAATTAAAATATTTTATTTGTAATTTTGTCAAGTACTTATACGTATATCAAATTGTGGACAACAGATCCCTAAGCATCTGTTGCCCACAATTTGATACCCTGTATTTGTATAATTGCTTGTCCAAATGATATGTCAGAAATTTGAATTACTCCTCTAACACTAATTACTCTCCACCTGTGGTTTCTCATAAAGGTAAACCTGTATCTGTTGCTCTATTATAGTGAAGGTAAAGATATGCTACTCACCTGGGCAAACCTCTTAGATGTGCAGGGTCTGTGGGTGTTGTGGAGCATCAAACTGTGTCATTTTAATGCATGATGGAACAAAAATACATAAATAATTTCCAATCACATGGCGAATTTTTATAAAATTTTCTTGCTCTCATTTCTGTTCTACCTATCTTCAATTATATTAGAATTATGTAGAATAGTTTTACATACAGGTAAATCACAGCGTCACAAACTGTATTTCAGTAGGAAGGTAAATATGGGGAGGCTGTGTATCAGAATGCATCACTGTAATAGATGTACTGTTCTGTCATCAAGAGTATTCTTCAGTAACATGCCAGTAAAAAGATTTTCTTCTTCCTCCAGATTCAGCAAGTAGAAGTCTAGCATTACGGCTGGGCAGGTTTTGGCAGGCATCACAGGAGGATGATGCCCACATCTTCCATATTCCACCACTACCTGAGGAGTCACCGTACCTTCCATATGTTGGCAATGGTCTCCTCGCTGTCACTATGGACCAAGATAGTCCAATTTACATCAGAAGTGGGAGGACTCTTGCATTACCTGTCAGTTTCCGCCCCATCACCTTGGTCTCTGTAGATGGTAAGATTTGTTACTTGTTGATGTATGTATATAAAGTATTATGTATTCTCTGTAAGCTGTATTTAAGCTTTAATTTGATTACAGTGTGATCGCTCTTTAGGTGTTACTGTTTGTTTTAATGGGGAAATAATAGTAAATCATGGGAAAGTCTGTGGCTCTTGGTGCTTCCCACTCTGTGTCGTGCAGGATAAGGCTTCCAGAAATGCAGAAAGAAATTATTGTTATTGTATCTTTATATGTTTTAGTAAAGTATGTGTTTTATGTTCAAGATACTGTACTGATGCTCTCTTACAGGCATGACCGTGAAGGAAGCTGTTGTGACAGAATATACAACAGGTGTAGTTCATCGCATTCAGTCGTGGGACCAACCAGGCATTGGACCCCTAGATGTCACTTACCAGACCTATGCACACCGGTCAATACCATCCTTGCTCTTACAGGATATCAAGGTGAGGTCTCTCTCTCTCTCTCTCTCTCCTTTTTGGACAATAACACATAATGACTTAAAGTAAATAAGTTTTCCTAGTAACCTCTTTTAGGTACAATTATTAACCCAAACATGTGTAGAATTTACTTTATTGTCTTTTATTAAGATCTCAATCACAGTAAGATTTAGTCATGGTCACTGGTGTGTACATACATGTGGGTGTTCTTAACAAATACAGTAAAGTCAAAATGCGTAACTGAAATTTAAAAATATTATGAAGCTCTTTCCTGGTTTACTTTTTTTTGTATATAAGATAAACTGTGATGCATTACGGTACATTGTTTGTTCCTCAGGTGATCAACCCAACTGATCAAGATGCTCTTGTGGATGTAGAGCAGATGGGATTGGGAGACTGGCCCACCGCCACCACCGAGACTTTAAAGTACAGTACATCTTTTACATCTTTGTCCATGTTAGTGAAGCTAAACCTTAAGAAGATAAGAAAAATTATGAATGGATAAACTTATTTTGGGATTTATGAAAGCTGAAACCAAGAGGCAGTGTTAGAACAATAAGTAGAACAGTATTGTTATTAATTTAGAAAAAATGTTGCTTTATTACAGTGAGGAAACCTTGTAGGACAAAAGTGTAACTTGGCAAGAACTGTCTGCATCACAAATAGAATTTTGGGGAATATTAACAGTAGAGGGAAGTTGATCAGAAGAAATTAGGTTTATAAAGAAATTTAAAAAACACTATACTATACTGTAGACAACAGCTAAGGATTCACCTGACATAATTTCATGAGCTGTTATATTTGAATGAGTAATCACTACATATGGGTTGTGTTACATTAGGAACACACTAAGGTTACTATTGTTGTCCCCTTCACTGTAAAGGCTTTAAAAAGATGTTGGCAACAGCTCTCCTCACATTACCGATTCATACATAGAGTGATTCCATCGTTGCCACATGTTCAGAAAGGCCACCGAGGGATGGAACGCTATACTTGTGGGGAACTGTACCTGATGCCTGGTGCTGTATTAGAAGTGTTTATATTTAGAAGGTCTGCTTCTGGTCATCCTTGGCTGTACAATAATGAGAAAAGGATTACATGAGTCAAAAAATACAGAAACCAGTCAGATTACGGTTCATCATGAGTACAGACTTTTTTAATTCTTGTTTATTGGGTAAAAGATTTGTAGGGTCTAATTTAATGGATGGTGTTCACTTGCAGACTGCACCACGGTGAAGGAGAACACGAATACATTGTAATATCTGGAAGTATAGAGCTTCCTAACTCAAATGTCATTCCAGTCGCTGTAGTGAGTCTGAAGGTTCCACCCAGCATACAGGTAAGATTGATGTTGTTATTGATATGAGGTGATGGCTAGGGTATCAGGGGAACATTGGCTATATTAAAGTAACAGTAGATTGAGGAGGAAGTGATGCTAAAAGAGAAATTGTTGGAAAATAATGCTGAAATGAACTTGGAACATTTTTTGTTATAAAGGTCAAAAGTGACTTGATGTACTTTTTGTTAAGTGTGGAACTGCTAAAGGTAATGAAAGGTCATTTTGAATATTACATGGCTCCAGCATCCATGGAGGAGGATAAGATGACACCTATTAGAATATAATTACCTCACACCTTCCTTTCTGCCTCCCAGCTGCTGAATTTTATAGATGTCAAGTCAGCCATTGGAAAACTGGTTTCAGAAAAAAATAAATTATCTATACATATCTAAAGCTTTGAAACCATCATAGGCAGGATCCAGTGTAGCATGTTGCTGAGTTCCATCATTGATCCTGTTATGTACATAAATGATGTTTAGTTACTCATTAAAAGTATAGTTTAGTTCCTTCCCTGTGTTACTTTATTGGCCTTATAAGTGTTGTGGTCATATGATATTCTGTTATTCCATTTGTGTCTTCAAATTTTGTAGGTTAAATCCAAGATGTCAACTACTCTCCATATTGTGACTGCTGTTAACTACTCAGAGCCCATACCAAGGAAAGCTTATTCAGCCGTGAAAGACAAAGCTGCCCAAGGAGCTCTTGCCGTAAGTAATATTGTTGCTCTTAACATTCTTTTAGTCATTCAGACAACTCAGTGCATCGTTACTCTACTCAAGTACACACACACACACACACACACACACACACACACACACACACACACACACACCAACACACACACACACACACACACACACACACACACACTCCTTATAATAGTTAATTCAGTATATCCTTTGACCATCTTAATACAGTACAGTAGTTTCAGCTAATACAAGGTGAATTCATTAATGCCATCTTATCTTATATGTAGTGCCTCACTCCCATATTGTGTTAATCAATTAATATTTATTTTTTGGTCCAGGCATTAAAGAGAGCAGTCACAGGGAACATAAAGAGACTTCGCAGCGATCACTCACAAGTTTGGAAAGAGCTCTGGTCCTCCGGGTTTGGCATCAGTCATTCAAAGGCTGAAAGTGCTCTGAATGGTGACCTAATCAATGCTACTCTCTACCATGTGTTGTCTCAGGCAAGTGATTTCAACTGTTATTTATATATGCCATGTTTATGAAGGGGTTACAGTACTATACAGTATAGGCTTTCTCAGTGTCTCTTTGTCCATTAAGAGTCTTGGATAGAAGATCTGTCTTAGATTCAGGGAATAAGTTAGAGTAATGTGACCTTGGACTAGCTAAGCTAATCATGCATGGTTAGTCACTTACTGATAACCTTGAAATTCCTAGCCGGCATCTTAGCTGGGCCCATCCCTCGCTCACCTCCCGGAACATACAAACCTGGCAATTAATCGGTGGTCAACCAAGGTGTTAACTCGACGTTTACCCCCGAACACGATAGTATGGAAAACAAAGCATTGCACCGGGTGTTTTTTTAGAGAAGTACTTGATGCTGAGGAGGTGTTGGCTCTTATGAAGTGAACACAGAATGCCACATTTTACAGCAAGATTAGATGAAAGAAGAATATTTATGAACATGTTCCCTTGATTCTGACTTTACAATGAATTAACTTGGGGAAATATCACACTACAGGCTCCTGCTCCCTTACATGAGGTATCGACCACTGAGGAACAGAGAACGTCCATCCTGCGTGACATAGCTTATGCCGAGGGCTGTTACGGGGGGCACCAGACTCTGTAAGTGTTGTGGAGCTGTGTTGTCTTAGGACTCTTGTTTCATAGACAAGATTAAAGAAGTCTTCAAATTTGGTAATATTCTTGCAAACTTTATATAAATTAATGCTTAAATGATATGGCCGGTGATGAATTGAGGTTACTGGAACAGGATCTTGGTAGATATTGCTGGATGACAGATATTTAAAGGCTTAGTTGTAGTGGTAGAGGAGCTCAGTGGACCTGTAGAGTATAAAGCCAGGCCAGTAAAGCCATGTAGTGTGCCACTTTTGTTTTTGTGTTAAAAATTATTAAGTTTTAATGTGTTTTTACGTATGTTAAGCTGTCTCCTCTTGGAATAAATGTGGACTTTATAATAGATAGAAATAAATAAAAGATCAAAAGCAAGTTTTATCATTGTAATGAATTTTTTGATAAAAGGGTGAAGTTTATAAATTGCTTTAAATGGTTATAGAGAAATGAAACTGAAAACAGCCACAAAGGAAGACTCAAGGTTAAGGTAAAAGGATTGTGTGAGATATATATACTGTATGTCTTAATGGGATAACAATATAATCTATACCAAAACCCAAGTATGTAGAGTAGGTCTGTCTCATGAGCCACAGGGGTAGAGATTATTACTGAATGGGTGTTGTATTATAATGAGTAGGTCTGTCTCATGAGCCACAGGGGTAGAGATTATTACTGAATGGGTGTTGTATTATAATGAGTAGGTCTGTCTCATGAGCCACAGGGGTAGAGATTATTACTGAATGGGTGTTGTATTATAATGAGTCATATGTTACATTTAAACAGTCAAGCTGAGCGCCTGTGGTCCCATCTCAACACTCTGGACGACGTCAACAGAGTGGTCGGCTACTGGATGGTGACGCTAGAGAAGCAGGTAAATACTAGTGTACCATCAGTTTTATTCTGAAGTATCTGAGCATCACTCCTGACTCTCATACTTGTTCAGACTTGGGGTTCACTGCTGTATATCCAGTGATGATTCTTGTAATGTTATGAGTTATTGTTTGGAGAAAGATATATATTACATCACCTTAAACTGCTCTGATATATAATATTGACTAATTTTTATGAGAATCAATGCTTATCCTATGTGATCACCATACAGTATATATATTATTACCCAAGATTTATTCATACAGTACCTCATATATATAACTATTTCAGGGTTGTCACCAGTTAGTTCGTGCCGGAGCAGATGGCATTATGCAAGCCATGCTGCTTAGCTTTGGAGGTTTGCGCTTCAAGAATCAACACCTGGAGTTTAATACTCACCCCAAGGATCTGCACCGAGACTATTACTTCAGGTTTGTTATCAAGTGGTTGGTAGAGGTACTGTAGTATGAAGTGGAATTAATTTATTTTTTGCTATTTTACAAGGGTCAGTGGTCTCAAACAAGTCATTAGGGAGTGAATGGGTGAGACTTGTAAAGAGTGACCACAAATTATCTTAGTCTGTCTTCTGTGCGCTGTGTTCCTATGCTAATTTGATCACTGTAAAAAGATGATTCTCCCCATTGACATTAGCCAGTTTGTTCATTTGTTTTGAAACTTTGAAGAATTTTTTGGGTCTGTATTCTTTCCAGGAGACTCAGTTATGGGAATGCAACTCACCTCAATATCTCCGTCATGGTGCAAGAGGAGGACTACAAGGCCGTCATGTACCTGGCCCTGGACAGATCAGACAAGACCTACTATGCTTGTGATGCTGGCTGTCTGGACCCTCCTGTAGAGCTCAAGTAAGTCATGCCTGTAGTTAAAGATTCATGTTCTAATTGACCATGGTAATGATTATCCTTCAAGGTCAGGATTAGCATTTTGCGTAAGTTGATTGTCGGAAGGAGATAGAAGGACCAAGAGGGAGATTGAAGGATGGGGGTGAAGGACTCAGTTGGGGGTGAGATGGTTGGACATTCAAGAAGGAGTGGATCATGACATATAGTGATATTGAAGGAAGAATAGATTCCACATACACTACTGGTGGGGTGATGCCCAGTTTGTGTGAGGTCATCAGGATGAACCACATTTAGGGTCTTGTTCAGATAGGGGATTACCATAGCAGAAACACATCTAGTTCAGCAGTTGGGATGAATGAATGAATAACAAAGATTGAAGGAATATTGTGTGTCTGTATACATTTGCTCTCGTGTCTGGCCACCCTACTCGGAGTTATAATTGTTTTTTCATCATCTTCACGTTCCAGGCAATTGAAGCAGTCTTTTCCCGTGAAACTGACAGACCCAGTGACGGCCATCTTGTACATCACCTCAGACAAAGCTCACATGGAGGAGCTGAAACACACCATACATGTCAAGGAGATTTTATTGGGTAAAACAGTATTTAATATTTGAGCAGATTATAACATGAAATAGTTATCGAAGTAATTTGAAGATTTTTGTTTTGCGAGTTAATACTAAGAAGTTTAAGGCTCTCAACTTTTATTTTCTTTTGTTTGTGAATTTATAAATAGATTTAGAATACTCTCATCTGTTATAATTCAATTAATTTTCTTAAATTTGCAATTGTAATATAAGTTTGGATCACCTGAAGAATCTCCACCAAAGCTTAGCTGTTTCACCTAAAGATTAATCACCCTCAGGCTAACCTGACCTGACCTAACCTAACCTATCCCATCCCAATCTAATCTAACCTCACTTTACAGATTCTTCAGGTGATCGTGTATAGCCATGCACAAACACGGGCACAAGTGGGGAGGACTGCCCACTATATTTTGGCTAACGATTATCGCCCTTATTGTGATATTCCATCTCTTCCTCATCAAATTAGTCATTAATGAATACTGCGGAGGAGACGTCAAGATCAGATACAGGTGAGGACGCATCTGTGTTTTATTTATTTATTTTATTAAGAAGACTATAAGGGTCAGGAAGCATTATTAATCCTCTTGAGTTATTTATTAATTTAAACTTGATCATTTCAGACTTGAGAATGGTCATGTGATTGAAGCCATTAAGACTTGCATGCTTCACATTACCAGACCGTTACTGTTTGGTTTCTAATATTTGCAACTTTCTTTTCTCCTGTTAGATTGTTAGAGAAAGAAAGTAGCATGCAACCAAGCCAGCCAGCTTAGTAGTGTGAGTCAGGTTGTTGGTATTTAAAGTATGGTGCTTTATTTTCACTCTAACACGAGAGAGCAAACATGTGGAGAATGATAGCAGCATGAGGAGATAAACATTGCAGAAGCTTAATGACTTAATGCAGAGAAGGAAGAAGTTACATATGATAGAACTGCAGTATTTGTAAGGCTTTAGTATCAGACCTTATGGATTAAGAGGAAAGGTTCAGTAACAAAGTGCCCCTCTGTCTTGCTTGAATGGAAAGTGGCTATGGCTGGAGTCCTTGTGTGTCTGCTGGGGAATTCAACTTTATGAATGTAAGTGCCAAAAGAAATGGCTAATAACACGACTCTGTATGTAAATGTGTTGGTAGATCTGAGTGAGTGTACAATATAATCAATATTCTCCATAAGTTTTATGAGTCACTTCTGAAATTATGAAGCAATGTTTGCTCTTGGATCAAGCCATTCTGCAGTACAGTACAGTATAGCTGGAAAAGGTTGCAAGATAAAGCAGTGTTTGGCGTTGCTTCTTAGGGGGACATTGCCACTACGTATGAGCAGCAAATGTTTGTTTGTTTGTTTTTCCCTAGTCATATCAAGACATGTACACTCTGGCTTGAGCTATTGTCTTGGTGTGGAAAGTGTTCAAAGGAGAGAGAGGAAGATACAGACCATACAGTATTGTTTTGTAGTCATACAAGCAGGATCCCTCTACACTCTACAGGGTGATGATAACAGTCAGTCGGTCACATACACACTAGGAAGAAATGAAGAGGTTCATTTAATAGACTCGAGAGATACATTGTGAAGTGTGATGTAATGTGAGTGTGCTGTGTTGACCCACATTCCTTGACCTGTTTGACCCGGGAACAAGCCTGAAAGAAAGTTGAGACTTGCCAGGGTGAAGGACATACTATTTATAAATTAAAGACATTTTACTGAAACTAATTCCACCATATCTGCTGTCATTCTCTTACTTGTGCCATGTCATTATTGATTTGTATGGGATTTCATCAATGCAACTGAATGGAGTAAAGTAGATACTGTACTGGTTTTATTCATCCCATAATTCTTTTGATATCAGATTTGTTGCATGAAAGTGATAAATAATCTACTGAGATTTGATTTTTTGCATTTTACCAACTAAACAACTTCACCTATTTCAGCTTGTGTTGTGTCCACGTGTTGTAATTAGTGTCACCATCACTCGGCAACGCCCATTTTTTAAACAGCCAGGGCAATAAGTCTGAAGGGGAATCCCGAACATCAGGTCAGTTTAAAGCCCGAGAAATGGATTAATCAAAGTCGTAATTTGAGTTTGATAAATTCATTTGTTGGGCTACTTAAAAGTGACCTGATGTTCAGGATTCCTCTTCAAACTTGCTGCACCGAATGTTTAAAAAAATGGTCGCAAGACTGTATTTTGTCCTCACTCTGTTTCACTTGTATCTTTGTCTATAAATTACACCACCTTTGTTTTTTCATCTTACTCTTCCATCATTTAAGTAGTACTGTGATTGTGTGACTAAATTCTTTTTATTCTGTGATTAACAAATAATACTGATGTAAGGTTTGATGTATTTATTATAAAGATAAAGTGAGCCTTATATTATATTACCATCTTGATGACCATTACAGATGGGAGTAAACCTATTTAGTGTAATATAGATAAGGTTGAACTTAGGGCCCACTTTATATATACGGGTATATGTATATCTATATATATACATATTTACACAGGAACACCCAGGTTGACAAAGGGGTTACGGGCTGAAGGACAAGTTCGTAAGGCAGTTGTTAGGAACCTGAAACATTATTATTAGGCTTATCTTCTCATCTGCCTCACAAAACCTCAATTTTGTTAAGATTTTCCCTACAGTAAAGATGTACAAACCCGAGCCATATACAGTACTGTAGTATTGACCAACAAATCCAATTTATCTGCTTATTCTTTATAAAATTCACACACCTCCATCACTACTTTGAGCAGCCTCTACAAACAATTTTCTCTGCCATCATTGGTGAGTGTTACATTGTATTTGTTCATGATGTATTGTATTTCCTTGCATCAATGTGGCTTTGTTGCATTTTTATTTGTTATTTGAAAAGAAACAAGAGATAAAAAGAAAGAAGAAAAACACTTGCTTATGCCTGCAGCTCTGCCAGTCTGCATTATTAGCTGTTTTGTTGCTGCTCATTGCCATTAATTTGTATTTTCTTAATATACAGAAATGGTAACTGTTGTTGGTCGTTGCTTCCTTTGGTCAATATGTAACAATTCAATAATATACTCGTAATGGGAAATGTATAGATTCCTAGTTAACAGTTCAAAAAAAAAAGGAAATTGCCAAAAAACATCCGCAGCTCGTTCCCCTTTTTCAAAATGCCTTAACACATGCATATGCATTAATTTTATCCCCACAAAAATAACATGCATGTTCAAGATGGCCCCTTACAGATTTGCTCTCAAAAATATGACCCTGACATGCAGGGTTGGCAAACAACTTTTTTTTTATCCATAAACCATGGTTTAGAAAGAAACCCTAATTACAGTACAGTACACGAATTTTTAAATTGTGAACCCAGATCCTTAATCATAATGTAAAGTACATGTAGTACCTTTGTATGAAATTTGAATACAATTAATTTTCTGATCCCCCAGCTGCCAAAATGCAAGGTATTAGACTACACTGTACTGTATTAGGTCAGGCGTATTTTTGACGTCAAACAACTTTTTGGGGGGAAAATGAAAACTATTGTGTCTGTATAGTAAAAATAGTCTAGAATTTTAAGAAAATGTATAAAACGATTATTTAAAACTTAAGGGTACAGCGTAATTGACTTTTCAAATATTATAAATATCTTTAATTCTTTCAAAGGTCATTAATTAACGCTAATTACTCAAATTTTTAAATTCTGACCCCAGATTCTTAATCAGCATTTAGTTTAAAAAATTGTTTTTAATCAGCCAACCCTGCTGACGTGAGTGTAACAGTACAGTGTTTTTATTGATTGATAACGTGTTTATATTGATGTTTTTAATAACAAAATTTGTGTTCATTTATCTCTGGGGTCATCTGAACACTGAATATACCACAGCCTTTGTTCTCTACACAGTACAATACAGTATGTTCTCAAGTTCACCCAACATGAAATCTTGAAATGCATCTTTCTTGAAGAATAACCCTTGCATAGGGCGGAGTCTGGCTGTACTGGTGTTTACAGAAATATGTTTTCTTTTCTGCTTCATCAATGTTTGTTTAAATTATGATAAAAGAGTGAGCATTGTAAGTTTGAGGAGTGTTTGTATTCAACCAGTAAGGTTTTAGGCAAGCAGGCTAAATGTTCTCTAACTGGGGTGCTCCTGTGTACACACACACACACATATAGGGTATATATATATATATATATATATATATATATATATATATATATATATATATATATATATATATATATATATATATATATATATATATATATATATATATATATATATATATATATATACACACACACACACACTGTACACACATATACATACCGTACAACAATATATATTATGTGAGAAACATCAAATTTTGATCAGCTCGTTAGAATTAAGTCAGATTTATCAAGTTTTGTACCATGTTAGAAGTAACTGTTTTAGGTCACCAATGGATGATGCTGGGCTGTGTGAAGCTTAAGAGGGGGGCTTCTTAGGGCCTTGTATTGAAAGAGGAACACCATAGCAGAAATCATATGTTATAACCATGAGTCAGGATCAACAATTCAACATTACTTTTTGTTGGTGAGATCCTGAAATGGCCTGAGCCCTCTTTTCACACAGACACATTTTTGTCCCCTGAATTAGAATTGATGGAGTTTAATGGAACCTTTCACACGAACGTCCATTGAATTACATTGATTTCTAATTCGCGTGACAGAAAAATTTTCGTGTGAAAGAAGCCTGAATCTGGAGGATGGTTCTGGTGTTGATGTTCTGTTTCAAATGTTGAAAGCAAAATGAGAGAGTGTGTATTTATGTCCAGTAACAAAAATTTTCAGCCTTCTCCCATTTTAAGGTAACATCATGCTAAGGGTTAAGCTCCAGGAGCCTTGTATGATAGTCCCAGACACTCCAGTTAGTGCCCTGGGTTTTGGGGTCCAATTCACTAGACTTTCTGACCATAAGGAATTATTCAACCTCAGTTAAAGTGTACAAAAGGATTTTAGGATCAATCCACCATCCTCTTTTGTTAGATTTATTTTGCATAACAGATCATCATTGTTGTCATTATCCGCTGTATCTCATGATACTTATCTTTTACAGAAAACTCTCTGACTTTTAGCAGTATTGGAAGATGGAGTTAGAGGAAAACAGTGAGAAACCAACAGCGTGTAGTGTGCGAGTCTTTGGTCCCTGGAACTTAATGAATACAACAACAAGGAGGATATTGTTTACCCTCTTTGAGTGTCTAGGCTTTACCACACCAAGAAGCCCCGTCTTTTTGGAGTCTGTTCACCCGTCTTTGTATTGGGGTCTGTCTCTTGCATTATGTCAGTCCATACAGTAAGATGTTACTGATTTAAGGGAACATTTCAGAAGTTCAGAGTTGGCACCTTACTGTTTGGCGGTCTCTATGTGAGTGCATGCTCATGTGAACATAAGTGTGTGTAAATTACATGCGAGTGTAAAGAATATTTGCAGTACAGTATCATGTAAATTTTTACCCTTGACAAACCCTAAACGTGTACAGACACTCAGGAGGAGGGTTGGGGAGATGTACATACCTCCTCAACTCACATGAGTTTTTGTACATTTCTGAGTTCAAGTGTTCAGAGTTGGCACAGAATGATTTTGGACACATGAACATCTTTATACACACACACACACACGTTAGCTAGCACAAAGAGAGAGAGACGCCAAAACAGTATTATGATAACTTTAAACCACTGAAATAATCCCTTAATTGTTACTGTATATATTTTTTTTATACTTGAGTGAATTTTTTAAACCAAGGTGATGGACTTATGTTAAAGAAAGTGTGACTTGAGGGAGAAGTAGATAATATTTAATATTTTTTTTAATTAATATGATATTGTCTGACAGGAAGGAATAGTATTTTTTACACGGTCTTCACCTAAAAGTTGATAAGTTTAAATCAAATTCACCTGCCAGCCTTCCTTCCTGGCTATATATGGGAGAATATGCGATGAAACCTTGAAAAAAATATAATAAAATAAAACTCAATTTACAGTCAGTCATGTTGAGTGTGTGTGATTAAAATATGAACTTCCATGCAGCTTGAATGCTTTGTCTCTCTTGACTTCATAAAGCGAGTTAGTTTGTAAGTGAGAAGTCTATCTATCTTCTCATCCTGTTCCACCAGATTCAGAGCCTTTCTCAGTTGTGTACAATGTCTAGTCAAGTGTTTGCTGGCACCTGATGATATAAATGTATACTGTACCTTGAACGGATTCACTGCCTCTATCCATCCCTTGCATGATCTGTCTTTCTTCTGCTTATTTCAGTGGTACATTCATGTCCAGTACAGTCTTCCACAAAAGTCCTGTTGCCTCTCTTTCTGAACCATGAACCCAAAGATTCAGACTCATGAACCCAAAGTAGTAGACATTGTTATATTATTCTGTCCATAAATGCTTTGGATTCAATATTCTGAATCTCGGAGTTCCTTATTCAGGAGGAAAGGCAACGGGACTCTTGTGAGTGACTACACGAACCTTACGTCAGTGGTGCTCTCTTCATCCATCAACCTGTTATTCATTGCACATTTTATATACATTCATGGTGACCTTCACACAAGATCTTTTAACCCATGTTGGGCTGTATTGTTACATCTAAACAACTTTTACCATAGTTTTCCCACATATTTTTGAGTGGTTCCATAAATTCTTTACTGATTCCAATAATACTGTGTGGAATGTTTACTTCTGTTAACTTTCACTTTAATCTTTCTTTACTTTAACCATACTTACTTAAACCTCACTTTACTTTTACTTTGCTTTGGAAGACTGGAGCCTCATATCCAGATCAGAGCTTTAGAGTTCCTGCTGTAAGGAACTGTACTGTAATATTTAAGTGTTGTGAATTTGACCAGCCTATAATGCATGATGATTTCTCCTCTTCTATCAACATTACCATCATAATAACTTCTGTCTCTCTCTCTCTCTTTCTCTCTCTGGTTATTATCATGTATCTATCAAACAAATACATATCTGCTACTTCCAATATTTATCATAGTTTATTTCCAAATACGTGGAACAGAGAAGATTTACCGAGCCATTTAAGAGAAGGAAAAATATTTATTGTTGATGAAGAAAAAATGAAACTTAACCTCTTGTGTATGGGGTTCCCTTCTCTTCGGAATAAAATTGTCTGGTGTTAGTTAAATACAATATTAAAAGTGGCATCCCCATAGTGAAGGGATTAAAGCAAGTGTCTTCATTCATCACTTATGTAGAGGAAGATGAAGTCATTAGGACTCCTCTAATCTCGGCATAGTGGAGTAAAAACTTCCCCCCTTAGTGAGACAATATGTCAATCCAGGAGACAGTCAACACCATATCACCCTTTCAGTCTTGGTCCACCACACACACACACACAGGTATTCTAGAGCTTCTACTTTATAAAACCTGACCCCTTTTTCATAACTCTTTTTAAGGAGTGAATTTCTTTCTTTTATGAAATTGCTCTTGAAGATTACAAGTATATTTCATTTTAAATTACTGTATTCTATCATGTGTATTGATAGTAAAAATGTAGTCCCAGAATATTGTGAGGGAGGGACTTACTGTAGGCAGGTTTAAACAATTGATAAAGTTTCCCTCTACTCACCATTACTGCACCTGGGTGTTTAATTTCAGTACAGTGGTAAAGTTCCAGTATTTAGTTCATGGCAGTCCTGTGTAGAGTTTCAGTGGATTGTATTACACTTTCTTTTTTTTTCTCAAAATTATTGTTTGCTTGATGTTGTGTACACAGGGTTGTTTGGTTTCAGGATAATTTCAGGTTAAAGATATGTCGTGGTGAAACATGAATTTAGGGAAATAGGGGTTAAGGTTCTTTATGTACACAAAGAAGTTCAAGGAATTCTCTCCCTGGGGGAAGGAGGAGTTGAGGAGTGCAGATGTTAGAATAACAAAGTCTCGTGTATAATCCCTTCATAAACACCAAGTGCTGTCACTTGCACACTGATTAACATGTCATAGGATTGGAACTTCACCCTAAAAGAGATCTTTGTATGGTGAAAAATTCTTGACTGGAAACATCTTGACATAAGCAGAAAGTTGTAAACTTGAGAATCTTGTGTAAGTACAGTCATAATATTGAAAACTTTGTCATAGAATAATGATGGAGTTTCTCCAGTACCTTAAAATTTTATGAATTTAATGTTTGCAATACAGTAGTGACAAAACTTACTTTTATTGTTGTGTTAAAAATTTTGATCATGATCTTTGTGACAGTGTTCTGTGATAATGACGGTGTTAATTTACCAAGAGTTAAGGCCCGGTTTGACTATACATTTATTTATTGTGTGAATATTGTAAGAAAATACAGTAATATAAAAAGCTTGTGATGTCTGTGATGACTAAAATAATAATTTTTGGCAAATTGAAATATTTTAATTTTGCAAAACAGAATTCTACTTAACCAGTGACTGGACACCGTATGTGTGACTGGCTAGAAATGATTTCTTCTTGAGCTGTACAGTACAGTGTAGGTGGAAACTAAGATAAATTAATTTGACTTCTTCAGTAGTAGATAGATCATTCATTGGTGCTTCCAAGTGTCTTTGGAAGGGAAATGTGTGGAAGAGTGGTGGGTGTTGGAGCTACAGTGTTGACCAAGAGGTGAGACAACATGTAAGGGTTACTGATGTCCACAGATGGCAAGGTATATAAAAGATGAACATATGTCATGCATTATAGTATGTCTTAGGGAGTGAAGGTTCATAACAGTTAAAGGTTTGCAAGAGTTAATCTTTTGTAATGTTGACCACCAGTTTGTTGACAACAAATACATTAACTAAAGCTCAACTCTAAATGGTGATTGAATTATTTACAGCATTACTGATTAAGGAAGTTGTTTACTTCATCACGGTTAACCTGTTGACTGAACCCCTTCACTTGTGGCATCCAAGACAACCATTACCGGTATACAGTATGCAATTTTTTTATTGTTACCACACTAATAAATTAATGACAATTTTTTTATTTAGTTTAATGAATTCTTTTCAAATAAGAAATATGTGCTTATAAGAACGAAGTCCTTTTTATAAAATAATCCCGATTTGCTGCCATGACTAGCACAACAACCATCAACTTATAAATATAATGATTGCTACAGAAGGTTCATCCCAGACTTACTGTACTTACCATACTGTCCCGTGGTCAGATGTCAGTATGAATATCAGACTTATTACCTGGGCATAACTTGGTAAATGGTGTGCACTGAGCTAGTCTTTCTTGTGTCGACATTTGTATTGGACATAACCTTTCTTACCCTGGAGGGATACCATCCTACCGCTCTTAAGCTGAAGGTTGTTAGCTTTAACATGTAAGATAAATAGTGAAATATATTATGTTTTGAGATGCAGATACTGTACTGAATTCATAAATGGGTTGAGCATTTATGTTTAAAAAGTTATGTAATACTTTTGATTACTTATTTTTAATGTGTGTGAATTTTTTAAAGATATGCAACTTGAAGTATTTGTAGCAAATTCCTTAGAAATTTGTGCTCTCCAGTCATCTGTACTGTAGTGGTGATGTTAAGGAGTGATGCCTGGAATTTTGATTTATGGTAACTGATCTACCGGTATTCCATCCGTATTTGACAGAGAACCTGTAGTACTGTACAGTAGTGTGGTGTAGGAGTAGGAGCTTGTGGCACAACACACAGTAAGTGACCCTCATACAATGACTCACTGCTGTTTAGTCTACTATACATCCCATAGAGAGTTTAATAGTACTGTACTGTACTGTACCGTACTGTTGTAAAGAAGTTAGTTTGGTATGGTTGTCGTGCTGTACAAGTTATGTGCAGTAAAAGCTGTAAATATCATCATTGTTTATAATTTGTTGTATAATTTGCTCTTTACTTGTGGTGGTATGTTTCTTGATTATGGTGATAATATATTTTTGGGTCGGGAGTGGAGTGAGTGTCAGCTTTGGGATATAGTTTGGTGTTAAAGGAAACAACAGAGTTTTCTGCCTTGATTCTAAGCATTAATGGATACTAATAACTGTTTTTGAATAGAGAATGTGTGTTTGTAATTTGTATAGTTGACTGTATAAATCTTACATCACCATATTGTTGATATGTCACTCATCTTCACAATATTCACTGCATAATTATGTTACAGGTGATATATTTATCCGTGTGTGAACTGTCTTAAGTTTGTCATGTTGTATTTGGTTGTGGGAACAACAAGCATTCACATTCCTCATGCAATTGGGATAGTTTTTATTTGGCTTAAATTCATCCAAAGAATCATGTACTCTTAATAGATACGGTAAACCCTCAATAACTCGGCGAGGCCAGAGTCCCACATGTGCCGTGTTATCGATGGTTTACTGTAGTGCAGTACTGTACCTAATGCAGTATAACTGTTTTGTAAATTGTGAGTGTTAGCTCAGACTTTGAAGATTCACATTTTTTATATGCACTAGTCAGAGTATGGTAGATCAATATCCAAATATGTGGCTCTGATATGCATGTCAATTCTTAAAATTTGAAATCTTTTAGTTAGTTACAAATCATCATTTTTATCACCATTATCATCATCGTTTTACAGCCATTTTCCACACCTGTGTGGGTGAGCTGTGATTAACTGATGGCAGCTGTTGGGTAAAACCAGAATGGTAGCCCACCCTCCTCAACACCACAAACCCAGGGTGTGAGCCCAGAAACTGTAACACAGACCAGGGGATTGACAACTATGGTAACCCAATTGCCATCAGACATGTTGAGGCAAAATTTCCAAACACCAGCCCACAGTGTGGGAACAGCTGGTGAGACAGGGCAACATTTCCCTGAGGTAATCAAACACTACTTGCCTGCATGAAATTTAAAATTAATGTGATTAGCTGCCTATTGTTTCACAGAGTTTCCATTGTCAATCTTTTTTTTTTTTTAAGGAAAACATTACAGACTTTATTGGACAGAGCTTGTGGTAGGGAATTATATTATAACATTTTATATTTGATAGTTCTAATGAGAATTGTTTATTTTTAAATTATTTGTATTTTGAGAGCAAGTAATACTGTAAATTTGCTTTTTAAGTCAGGTAAATAATGTAACAGATTTAAGGTGCTCATTACAAGTGGTCAAAGTACTTTAGTTTTAATTAAAGTGAGTCCAGGGAATTACCAGTCGTGCCCTAATTTATATCAGAAATACAACCAGACATCAAATTTAAAGAGACATTACTGTGTGTTTGTGGTGGCACTCACTGTATCAGGCCAGGCATTTGGAGAAAGGCTACATCCTTGACTTAAAGCTGGCCGACTTAGTTTTCCTCAGTTACGTTTCAGCTCGGTCGTGTGTTAATTTCTTCACTGTATTTATGATCTGGCATCTCAAATGGGATTATGATTTTTATGACAAATTATTTAAAAATATTTCATATATTTTTGTTACTGATTCTAATGCTGCATTATACAAATATCTGTTGACCTTTTAACTTTGATGTTGGTCAAAAGTTCTACAGTCTGTTTGTTATGCAGTGCCTTTAAGAGAGACGAGGTAGGTTCCAGATAAATGATCTTTATTAACCCCTTTTGTATGGGGCCCCTCTGCTGAAGAAAATATCAAAAGTGGTGTCCCCTCAGTGAAGGGATTACCGGTACAGTAATTGATTGATGTCGAGTGACTATTAAAGTTGGTGCTTCATCATTAAAGAAATACAGTAATGTAGACATTATATAGATAGATTAGTTAAACTAATGTAAACCCCATTAGATTACCAATATTTATAACATGAGTATTTAAATCTGAAGAACATTATTTTAACTACTGAAGCTCGTAAAAATTTCCGAGTGGCATGGATTCATATTTCCCGTGCAAGATCTTCATGTTGTACAGTAGTTACAGAATGCTGTTATTAACTTCAATAACTAAGAAGGATAGATGTTGCTTTATAGAAATGGAAACATTTTCATTATTTAATGCAGGAATATTGTCTTGCTATTAGTCATATTGTTAAAGAAGTAATTATCAACCTTGAACTCGTTAGTGTAGCTTGGAGGTTACCACAGGTTGATTGTTAGGCAAGTCACATACTGACCTCTCCATATCTTGAAGACTAAGGCAGGATATTAGATATTTATCAAAGAGTATTATGCATATGGCTGATTAATTTACCTCCCCAGATTATTACCATTATAATGCCAAGTGGCCAAAATAAAGAGCACAAACAAACTCTTCCTTAATTCACCGTCAAACTCTCACTCTTAGAGCTTCATAGATAAGGTTGTACAGTCTCGCCCAAAAGTTTGTTAACTCTCCCAGCCAGCAATTGCTACACTACCTGCTTCAGATGTATGAACTTGAGTTTGTTACTTTGAACATTTAGATTCATTCATATTGGTTTCATGTTCTGGCTAGTATCGAGACAGTTTCAAACATCTGGAGCAGGCAGTGAGCAATAGCTGGCTGGGAGAGTTAACAAACTTTTTGGTGAGACTGTACCTTCCTTATCGCGGCTCCATTTACCTAGCAGGTGTATCTATGAATCTAAAGGTAACTTTTCAATACAATACCTACCAGCAGCACATCACCCCCCCCCCCCCTCCGAAAAAAAACACGCAGGTAGTATTTAAATCCTAATAACGTCTCTTCCCAGGTGCTATATTTTTTGCAGTGTCGTCTTTTATCACTGTCTTAATATCTGAGGACATCTTTGTCATTGCCACTCAAACTATCCGGTAATACACGTTGCATTATCAGTGCTATGTAATTGCGTTATCATTCCATATATTTTCATCTTGTTCTAAAACTTTGGCTCTGAATTACCCATAAACTTGAACCAGTTATTGAAGATTTGTTTTTATTTTATTCAGTATAAGAATAGTTTGAATCCTAATGTGTGTGTAATGCACTGATCATTTTATAATTATATTTAAATAGGGAGAACAGAAGACGTGTCCATTGAATCGACGAGGATGTAAACTTTAAACAATTTGTGAGTTACTGGATGTTCTTAAGAGATGTAAAAATGCACATGTGAGGGAAATGATGCATAAAAAAAGCTAACTTACTTTATTGTTGTAGAAAAGAAACAGGTTTGCGTGTGCCTTGGGTTTATATTTATTAATGATGGTTTATAAATTTTATGCATTGTGTTGTTTATCTCAGTGGTGTTTATTTATGATTTTTTTGATGAATGATGAGAAGCAGACAGTTGAAGAAGAATAATGATACAGGAATGAGTCTTTGAGGAATATGTTTTAGGGGATCGCTTAATCATTTCTGCCAACACATCATTATCATGTATTTTGCGTGCCTTCATTCATTCCATTGTACATCTCATTTGTAAATATAATTAAACCGTGAAGGTAATTTGTGTGATTTGGCTACCCTGTGATTTTTTTTTTAGTTCTGTGGAAGTACAGAGGTTGTAAAAGTAAAAAGGCGATACTGTATCTCAAAGACTAATTGATACTCTCATGGAAAACTAGAGGTACAGTACAGTATGCTGATCACTGCACCTGTAGCAAAGACAAACAAGAACAGGATGAATAATATAGAAATCATACACTTATGTTGGTCCTAATTATGGATGAACTCTACAGGATATTACTAAAAATGTCAAGTACGTTACAGTATTCCAACAAATTTGTCATACTCGAGGGGATATGAAGGAGTCGGTGATTGCGGGACTGATTTACGGAGTTGCTGACAAAATCTACTTTAATTATCAAGCAAATGATACAATTTTTTAAAGTATATTGAATAATGAATGACATTCGAAAATCAAGTGAAAATAATTGAATAAGGTGGAGTGAATATTAATAGCAGGAGTAATGATTACAGTTTCAGGGGCTTAAGGTTGACTTACGAACCGTTGAACATGAATACAGAATTATATTGAAAATAAAGTTGTTTAATAACGATTTGGTCCCTTACAATTTGCTCTTGGCTTATGATCAAACTACAGTAGCTCAGTCACAAATTCCAGTTAAATCCTGTCAAATGCCAGTTAAGTAGATAAATTCCAGCAAATTCAGCAATTTTATTGATCACTCCCAATTATCAACTCTAATCGTCAATCTCAATCATCAGTCCTAATCAATTTTACATGATTCCTATCATCAATCCTAACCATCAACCCTTATCATCAGTCCTAACAAACAATCCTAGTTATCAACACTAGTTACATATTATCACTCAATCAACAATCCCAGCCAGCGTGACACTAATCACCAGTTGTAGTCATCAACCTCAAGCCATTACATCTTTCCTATGTCACAGTCGGTGATTTCAACGCTGGGGAAGGCGGTATCTTAGTACAACTCTTCCAAGACAATTTTCTTAGAACTTCTTAATTAAATTTTTGCCTACGGCCACCATGAATATTTTGGTGGTGATACATAGGTCTCCGTTTCCTTTGGCAGTGTGTGGCTTTCTTCCTCCTAAGTTCCGGTAATGAGAATAACCCAGAAGTGTAGACAATTTCACATGCCCCCCCAGGCAGCTACGGGTCTGCCAAGCTTATGTGAGGAATTCCTTCTCTAAGTACTACATAAAGTTACATATCTTACATATATTCCAATTTAAAATGAACATGGATACAAGTATGGAGTGTGGCTTGTAAATTTTTAATACACAATAAGATACAAACAAGCTTTTCATGCAATAAAGGTACAATTTTGACAAGTTGATGGGTTGGTAGCCCTGCGTGTACCGGGTCAGGTGAGCGTAAGTGACCTAGTCAAGCGACCACAGGAGCCTAACGGAACGACCAATAGTCCTTGAAAATGAATGAAATTTTAAGTGCGTGTGAATAATATGGCACATGCAGACATCCACCACAGATACATAATCAACCAGCTTTCTAAATGCTTTTATAATAACGGCGCGAGTAAATAAATGGGAGGTAACCGCGACGGAAAAAAGACTAGTTAGTCACCTGGTGCGGCTGAGCTTACCAGTTGGAGTTGAGACGCTGTGAGGTGGTGGTCTGTGTGTGTGTCTTAGTCTATTAACGTTGTCTCTCAGTTGTGTTGGAACAAATTCCTGGTACATTCTATGAAGAATACTAGCTCGTGTATTAGTGATGCAGAATACCTATCAATATTATATAAGTTCTGTGTGCGGTGGAAAATAGTGAATAGTGAACAAGATATCCTTCGTGAGTGACCTTTAAGTCCTGACAGTTTTCTCATGAGAAAATTTTCAGCGTGGGAAGTTATACAGCGATGGTTTCAGTTGATTCAAATGAGTTGAATCTGTATATGTGAAATGAAACGGTACATTGGGAGAAGTAATTAACCTAACTGTCCAAGTGGGTGTATTATAAGATCTTATCCCGTTTCCTTGTGTCAGTAGAACCTCACAAGGCCAACTGGCTAGGTGTTGTCTGCCAGCCACACTGTTTGTGTTTTATAAACACATTTCATTTTACAGTTAACTCTTAATATAAAGTGAAAGTGTAGAAAAGAGATTCGTTCAAAGACAAGGATGGAATTAAGATGTGTGAAATAAGACGCTCAAATAAGAAAACTTAGAAACTAGTTTAGGCAGTTATCCTCACCTGTAAACAGTAGACGACGGGTGACACAATATCTATCTTATTGACTCTTTTCACACCTTCATGTAGGCTAGATCAGGATTCACAGAAATACCCAAAGATACTAGAGTGATTGTTGCAAGACAACTGTTTACAACAATAGAAAAGTGCTACGATAACAAGTTGAAATAACCATCCATATTTATTCATATTCTTCACAAACAATAATAGACACCTTTACCATAATATTCTCTAGCTTTCTCTTTACTCCCTTCTCACAATAGTTTAGGCTGGATCAAGGGTTACAAAAATCTCAAAAGAGGGAAGGAACGATTGGCAGAGTTGCTCTAGCCAAGTGCAGAAGACGACAGGAAAGAATTAGAACAACCCCAAAAAGGACTCCAATCATGAAGAAGACAGAGAAGAATATAGAGTATGCGGATCAGGCCCACATCTACACCACCAACTACATCAGGAACTCTAAAGCGATAGGTGTCCTGTGGGGAGTCTTCACCATCTGCTTCGCTATCATCAACATTGTGGTGTTCGTTCAGCCTCAGTGGATAGGCGACACGCAAGACTCCAAGGGTACAGGTCAGTTAAATCCTTGTCATTATTTACCCAAAGGCCTGGTTGTCATGGTGCCTACATATGTTTAATTAAGATTTGTTTATATCATAGTTTAAAGTAGTAAATGCCTATACTAGATCAATATTTATTTTACGTTACTGTATACTAACTGTAACTCAAGATTTTTTGTATTTATTCACAATATGTATTATATTATCTACAAACATCCTTTCAGACTCATTTATTGAAGACATTTTAAATATTTTTACCCTTGTGTCCTGCTAACTTATCCCTTATTACAGCTTATAAGCTAATGTATTGTATAAGAAATTAAGAATTGAGCCCCACTTTAACAGGTGTCCTACACTCACGGAAAACTATCTCAGAGGCGGACTTTAGAATGATTTAAAGCAGCCCAAAAGGATCCCTTATATTCACCACGACAATGTCCATTCCTTTCATTCCTGCTGAGTGTTTGAATTACTATATTAGATGCAGTCAGGTGAAGAACTAATCCTCCTCTCCTTAGAGACACACACTTCACGGAACGTGGTTGACAGTTGTAATATTTCTTCCTTGTTAGCTCCGCCAGCACCACTGTCTGTGCATCACTGGGTCACTCACTAACGGGGGAATATTAATAATTGATAAAGAATTATTTATGAGTGACTAAAACGTATATAACTGTATTCACTATATACTGTACATCTCTCGGGCTGTGCCTCATCCATCTCCGTAACGTACTGTACTTCACCCCCAGGATGCCATGGAGAGTATACTCGTACAGTAATGTCAAGAGGCCGGACAGTTATAGCATTATGGAGGAGTCCATGAACGTAAATGTAATATCTTATCAGCACGTGTCAGGATAGGGTATGGCTAACTATGGCAGGTCGTACATGACTCAGTGCCAAAATTAGTACAAGCTATGTAAAGGGCCTTTTAAAAACAAATATGTAGTTAATTAAACTTCTGGGTTTGCTGGATAACAATAGGCTGAACTATTTGACTACTACTACTCAGACCTCTTAAGAGGCCATTATCAAGTTGGACCCATAATTGTAGCATAGTTTGTTATGTGTCATATACCATGACACCAACAGTATATTTGGCTCACTGTCATCTGCAGTACAGTCCACAGTATCAAACACGACTGAGAGAGCTGTACCTTTGCCCATGATCTGTGCATACTGTTCATACAATTGTAATAGCCTAGGCTACTACGCCCTTATGGTGTACTGTAGTATAGGGTGATGAAAATAAAAATGTGAAACTGAACTGACTAAGCAAGTGAGGACTACCGTACGTTACGGTGCCTTTACTTAATGAACACTACAGTATGATGATACAGTTATGATGATTAAGCATTATGGTGGCTCAGCACATGAGGACTCCGCATAATGACGACTACCATGTGAGGACACTGATGAAGGCTACATTATGATGAATATTAAATATATAATGAACAAGTTATATAGTATACCCTGTGCTTAACTGAATTATCGTCGTTATGATATACAACCCGCCTATTGTTTCATTATCAAGTCATTTTCCACTATAATACGGGGCGGATGACAACGGTAAGTACGTACTGATCATCCATTCATCCCCACAGCTTTGCTAACTGTTTTTATTTAACAGCTTCAATGGCAACGTGATTGGTAACTGTTTATTTATGCAATGGTGCAGAGCGAAGAATCCCATAATTGGTGTGACGGCAGAGTTAATGAGAGGAAGTGAGTGATTTTAGTGGCAGTTCCGGTAATGTGTGTCATTTCAGGGTCACAACAGTTCAAGTCTCCGTGACATTGTGTACCTGGCTGGCGGTTCTCATGCCAAGGTTCAAGGCTCATACCATACCATACAGCCTAGCCTAGCCTAGCCTAGCCTGCCGCGTGGCTTGTGTGTTGTTTTTAGGTTACACATTTTCCTTTATTAGTTTCTATAATTTACTTAATGACAATGTTAAGTAAAATGTCTAAATTTTCCAATTGATATGTCACACTTGGTGCTAAGGAGCCATTATCCTACACACCTCAATGAAATTTTACCTTTATTGAGTCACATAATTTTAAAGATGATAATTCTTGCGTTTTGAGTGAGAGGGTAAGGGAGGCTTAGCTTTAACAACACACTGAGGAATACTAACGTAAAATATATATATAATTCACCTATACCGTCTGACCTTACCCCAAGTTTCGTTATGTACTTTGTTAGGCTACGGCAAAAAATGTTTCGTTTATATATTTTTTTGTTATATTCGTCCTTGACACCACTATCGTATACAGTATGTTAGGTATGCTATACGTGGTCGAGATATAACAATGGAACATGAAGTGGACATATATCTACCCAGATACACAGTTTGGTCAGTACTAGACGCACAACAAACAATGCGTATACCTTTTCCTTTCAAGATTAAAGCGTAATATTTAAAGTTGTCAGTTGTTTAGGGAAGAGATTAAGACTTCTAACACTCATTCACGTCTCACTCTTTTCTTCCATTGTGTGTGTTACCTTCCATTGGCACCTTCTGAGTCCATATGTTTATATTCCACCCTCCTCCAAGGCGGTACGTCAGCTGCACTTGAATGTGGGTTAGTGTGTGCTTCCTCAGCTGACGTCACCACAGCTTCTCCTTGATATTTTCTTAACACGAATGAATGGCAGACTCAGAAACCAGCTTGTTGCAGGGATACGATAACGAGTTAGTTTATCAAGACATTTAGCTAGAAATTAGCTTAATATAGACAATTACAGCTACCGCAGCCTGCCGTATGTGTATCCAGTTAGCCTAAGAGAGGAAACTCGACCTCAGGTTTCCTTAGTAAAAGACTTTCCACCGTATATTAGTCTGTTAGAGGAAATGTTCCTATAATTTATCCACCTTAGAGAATACCACAGTGGGTTAACCTCTTAGATGAAATTTAAAACCAAATCCAAGCCCGGTAATCAGAAAATTCGATCACTGTTTAGACTATTCGTGAAATATTCGACTGCAATATGGTCTCGGATAAACACCGGAGTCAGGCTTGTCATTGGTTAATCTAAGAATCCCTCCCCTGATCGACAGTCTGGTAAACCTTGCTGTACACTTTAGGCCCCAACAAAGGAGAGAGAGAGGATTGCCTACCCCGGACGTGCTTGTCGGTGTTCAGTTTTTATTTCCATGTCCACTTTTTGTCTCCGATAGTCTGACCTCGGAGGGGAACTTAAAACTATTGCTTAAATTGTTATTGTCACAGGAATGATGAAGCATCTCTTGCGGCAGTGTGTGTGTATACGCTCCACATGAAGGACCATAGGGGCCTGTATGTTTATATTTGGCACACACACTGTATCTTCCCTTAAGGTTGCTAAGGTAGTTTCAATATTAAGGTCACTACAGCCTCCTAGAGTCCTCAGTGCTGATAAGTAGCCTCCATGGGGGCGTGGAAAATATATGAGAGGTTAAAGGAATTTTGATTAATAAATGGTTGATACTAATACTACCCATAATAATGACACTAATAATAATTGTAATACGAATAATAAGTGCTGAGAAGTTCTTCAGTACACACAAGTGCATATTATTAATAGCATCTCGGGTGACTAACACGGAGCCCAGGTGTACAAGAATACCAAATAACACAATGATCCTGCATCATGAGAGACGCATCCATCCGGGCCCACAACTCCTGAGCAGCACCGTAATACGTCATGGACCAGAAGCTGTGATGGTAAAAGTCATTGTGTAATGTTGTTGTTGACCATCACTGGGCTGAGGAAATCTTCACCCCAAGAGCGTCTCATGTTGAAGCAACACTGAGGGAGAGCTTTATGAACTGTTACTTGATGTTCGTTTATACTACTTTGGTGATAAGGGGGAAGATCAACCTCAAAGGGGAGGAGATAGTAGAGAGAAAGACGTGTAGAAAGTGTCAGGGAAATGATAACAATGTCGTATATATACAGTATTCATATCCTCAACTTAGTTACTGTGTGGTACTGTACACAATGATTTTATGAGACAAATTTACAAAGTGACAAGAAAATGCTAAGATAGCAAGTAAAAACACACACACACGCACACACACACACACACACACATATATATATATATATATATATATATATATATATATATATATATATATATATATATATATATATATATATATATATATATATATATATATATATATATATATATATATATATATATATATATATATATATATATATATATATATATATATATATATCCTCAATTTTCATACACAGTAAGGCTTTGTATCTACTGTGATTTTTTTGTTATACAGTAAATGTTATTCTTAATATGGCATCTACTGTACTGTAGTCTTGTTGATGTGAGGTAATTGAGAGGTAGGATCTTATTGATCCAAATATGTAGAGCGAGAGCGTGTGCTTAATGAATGAAAGTTGGACATTTTCGTGATCAATGAGTGAATAATTGTATGAACGCTTTCCAGTTTTACGATTTCTCTGCTTTCTAGAGACTCACAAGAGCATAACCATATAGGGGGGCAGAGTAGTATTGGGTAGAGAGGTAATTGGTATTGAGGTGAGGGTGGTGCTCCCCAGTGATGCCTATCCCGCCTCCCCCCTCTACTTTCTCCCTATTGGATCTCAGCGTAGACAATAACACGGCTCTCTCTCTCTCTCTCTCTCTCTCTCTCTCTCTCTGTTTAAACATGTAACTAAAACATATAATCCAGTATAATATTAACAAGGAACACGCTTTTTCTAACAGTTGAAAGTGTTTTAGAAATTGTGAGAACATGAGCGTTGTTCATGTGTGTGATCATAACATATATGTGAACCAGTGTAGCAGTAAGTACAGGCAATTGCTTGTGACACCATCCCACGAACGCACTTAAGTCAACACACACACACACAGATCATTGACAGTCACCATGTTGCTTCACCACTGAAAACAATAATAATCTTGTGTGGTCGCTGCGTTTCAGGGGTGGAGTTATCTACTGGGCTTCTCACATTTGGTCACACCGCCCTGGTCTTCCCCTCATATTCGGCGTTCCCTTCACATATTAGGGTGTTACTTGTGTCATTGGGAGATTATAGTGCTATGTTAGAGATGGATCGTGTTCACAAAGGAGGATATTTGATGAGCGATAATTGATAATTTTCTCTCGTATGCATAAACTCATGTAATATTATTTGACTGGCATTCTGTAGTATGATGTTTGTCAGTGAATAAAAATGATAACAGTCAAAGATTCGATCAAAGTTTCCAAATTCCTCTTTCATCTTCTCATGTTCTGATGATAAACGGTAAACACTGTACCTTTGAAAATAACTAATCCACAACCCTCTATTGATGTCAGTATACTGTACTGTATATATGTATCGTGGAATTAAGAAATGCCTTCATTGTGTTTAGTTTCCGTGTAAAAGTGAATCGAGTTTATAATGGTCATCTTCTTTTTTGCACAATAGGAGTTTGTAGAGAACATGACAGCGTGAAGGACTGATCAGTGTTCATCATTACTGTATTGCTCGTGGTTTATCTAATCATTCGTGTTGTCGATTCCTCCCAGAGACTAAAACCATGACTGTTCCTCGTGACTGGTGATGTAAGAACACCTCTAACGGGCTGAATTGAATTATAGAATAAATATAATATCCAAAAATAAATATAAATTACTTCCATACAAGATTTAAATCAGATACGTTCACTTAACCTCTAGTACCAGTTATAAGACAAACATTGATACTCTCCCCATAATTCTACCTAAATTTTGCTAAATGTTAAGTGGATGTATCTAAGTTGTTGCTCACTGTTTGGTTCTTTTAGTTATTTTTTTTAATATCCCCCACAAGTGTATCCTTACAGTATTCACCGGGGCTAAGGTGAAGAAGAAAACGATATGTTTGGCCTAATTACTGCTTCTGTTTATCCCAGTCTGCCTTTGTCGTGAATATCAATTTTTTTATCAGTCTTACTCCATTTGTAGGTAAAGTGAATGGAGCAAATACTACTGGTTTTGTTGACTGAATTGCACTTAATAAACTACGTCAATTGAGAAGGTTTTGTCAGCACTGTCGAGTCGTATACTTGACTTCAAATTGTGAGAACCATAGCGAACAGGTCACGGTGCCTCACCTATAATACCAACCCGTGTGACGTTCTTACCTGTTCACGAGGAAGAAAAACCACTTGACTGTGAAGTTAATTGCCAGGTTATTACAAGAAGAATGGAAAGAGCAATCGTTGCCTGTGGTGAGTTGCAAGATGGGTTGTGTATGCTTGTGATGACCCTGCTTGCATTTTGAATCGCCGTGGATGGTGTGATTCCTTTATGTATTACAGTATGAGCACTTTAGTATGTGAACGACAGCACGTGGATTTTGCGACTTGTTTTGAGCACTTTACTGTCACTTTCTACACCTTTCTTACACCACACTTTATTTCCCTCCGCCATTGATACTTAAGTGCTCCTTTGACCTACCACACAAAAATATATGGTGGAGCAAAGATAGACACATTCTTTTACATGAATGACACTTTAGTCGTCTACAGCGTCAGGGTCGAGAAAAACGGACAAAAAGCATGATTGGTCTCAGGAGGAACCTATGACCCCGTAGGTGCTATTGTTCTTCATCTGTGGTGCCCCCTGATGGTGTCGTGGGATGATGGTGTTAATGGTGCTTCAGGAGGTGAGGGGGGTGCTCGTGTGTGTGTGTGTATGTGCGTGACTGCCATGTGTGTGTTGTTAGTGTAGGTGTTAAGTGCATACATTCGTGTAAGTGGGATATATGTGTAGATGTGTTTGTGTATCTTTTCCAAATTCTGGCAATCGTCGGAAGGGAAGGAGCGTTTGTGTAAAGAAGCTCTGGATAGCGGAGTGTCCTCTTGTGACAGACTCAGATCCAATTGTCTTCCCACTACGTTTGTCTTGTATTATCTACTGTCTCTCTCTCTCTCTCTCTCTCTCAATAATAGACTTAATACAGCTATTGTTTCCCCTCCTCCCCGTCCAGGATACTTCGGGCTGTGGAAGTGGTGTGCGGGAGGTCGTGAGGGCACCGAGCTAGAGTGTACGGGCAAGCTGGACGACTTCACCACCCTACTGAACATCCCCTCCAAGGCGGCCACCATCCTCGTCGGTCTCTCTGTCGTCATCACCCTCCTGTGTATCTGCTCCATGCTGCTCTTCTTCTTCTTCCACTCCTCCACCGTCTTCCACATGGCCGGCAGTATGCAGCTCCTCTCAGGTGTGTAGTGATGATGATACCTACAAACATTCACCCACAAACTTATATACCTGTACAGTTTTTGATGGTACAGCAGATACATATAACTAGTACCTTCATATTGAGATTCCACGGTACTGATGGATATTACACGAAGATGCGGTATATTTACGGTACTATACAAGGAGGTAGTATGGCTGGCACTGCACTCGATTGCCTTTTACAGTCTAAAGTGTAAAGTTAGGTACTCATTCACAGCTGGATGAAGTGAGGGTGCCCTACATACATACATACATACATACATACATACATACATACATACATACATACATACATACATACATACATATCGTCTTGGAGGAAATACTGTGTGTCGTTTCCAGAGTGCACATGTACTGTACACCTTAGGCTCACATACACACAAACAATGCTGGACTCGTTAACGTTCACCAACAAGACTGGCCATGTGTAGACGTGTCATGTCACGCTCAGACACGGCCAAATGGTGATTCTACTTTCCCCTGCTTGTTATAGTGAGGGAACCAACCATGACTGTGCTGTGGTCGCTGGTGTGTGAGGGGGGGGGGGTGGTGGCGATCTTTCTTCAGTACACACGGTTCTTGAGTGCATTACGGTCGTTCTTGAGTGCATTACGGTCGTTCTTGAGTGCATTACGGTCGTTCTTGAGTGTGTTATGATCGTTCTTAAGGGGCGGCAGGATCTTTTCTGGAGTACGTCACGGTCATTTGTAAATGCAATCGTCCATAAATGAATGAATGAGTGAGTAAATGGATGAGTGAGTGAGTGAATGTGTGATTGTGAGAATGAATGGGTGAGTGAGTGAATGAGTGAGTGAGAGTGTGAATGGGTGAGTGAGTGAGTGAGTGAGTGAATGAGTGAGTGAGTGAGTGAATGAGTGATTGTGAGAATGAATGGGTGAGTGAGTGAGTGAGTGAATGAGTGAGTGAGTGAGTGAATGAGTGATTGTGAGAATGAATGAGTGAGTGAGTGAATGAGTGAGTGAGAGTGTGAATGAGTGAGTGAGTGAGAGTGTGAATGGGTGAGTGAGTGAGTGAATGTGTGCCTTGCGATCATTCATGCATGGGACACTAGAAGATCTCCTCCTGGGAACGCTCACAACATGAATCCAGTATTGTGCCCTGGCTGGTGGTGATGCGTGGCCCTTTCTTCTTCAGGTGATAGAGAGCTGTGGTCACCTTCCTTACGCTAGTGTCGTAGTGCCCGTTTTGGCGTTGGGCTCAGTGCCGTTTACACCTTCTCACTTTCTTCCTCATATACTCACGTTCTTCCTCATACACTCACGTTCTTCCTCATACACTCAACGTTGTTACTCACACACTCACGTTCTTCCTCACACACTCAGGTTGTTGCTCATACATCTGTTTACTCAATCTCTCCTCCGCCGCCGCTGGTCAGCCTATACCAGCCCTGAGACTAACGGGCCGGTCAGCTCGCCGTTGTACACCCTAGGCAGACACACTGGGTAGTCGCAGGCTCTTGAGTTTACCTTGAGCATACCTGTCCGTGCTGATGATCTTACCTGTGTGTGGATGTACAGTACAATAATTCACATTTTGGTGCTGCCACAACACATTCACTGGTAGATCATTCTCTCGAATTGACATATTCTCTCTCTCTCTCTCTCTCTCTCTCTCTCTCTCTCTCTCTCTCTCTTTTGTTGGGTGTGAAGGAGCAGGAACTAGTTAATTTCGCTTTTGACATTTACCTGTGTGTGTGTGTGTGTGTGTGTGTTTGTGTGTGTGTGTGTGTGTGTGTGTGTGTGTGTGTGTGTGTGTGTGTGTGTGTGCTCAAAGCCATTTCACCATAAGTCAGTTTCATTCGCTTTGTTGTGGTGGAATCTTGCCTGACTACCTGGGTGTGATACTGTGTGGGTGGAGGAGTGTGGGTGGGTGGAGGAGTGTGGGTGGGTGGAGGTGTGTGAGTGGGTGGAGGTGTGTGAGTGAAAGGGGCGGGAGGGTGGTGGCGGTGGTGCAGGTGTTCAGCTGAGCCAGGTGACGTATCTACACACCCGTGGGACCCCGCTTACTAAAGGTCCTCCGCATCCTGCCACCACCACACCCTCCCCTCCTCCTCCCTTCTCTTCCTTCTACCTCCCTCTGCCACTCCTGCTCTTCCCCTCCTCCCTCCTACCCCTCCTGATTTGTACAGTATTCTTATTACTTTGACTGTCCTCCTCCTCCCCTTTCTCTCCTTATTCTCCCCTTTCTTCCTTCTTCTCCTCCTTCACCACTCCTAATTTTTATCATCTTACTCCCCATCCCTTCCCACTTCCTTGCCCCGCCATACTTTAGTGTTGGGTCATCAGTCTTACCCAACCTTGCAGTCCCAACAAATTTACTTCAGTTATGGCTTCAATTAGACTCTGAAATTAATACGTTTTCTATGACTTTTTCTTCAGTGGTGGCGTCCATAGCAACCAACCAACTAACCACCTTAAGCTTATTTCACCATAAGATTAATTACCCGAACAGTAACCTAACCTAACCTAACCTCACCCCCACCCCCCAGGAAGTGTTACAGGGTGTTTAATCGTCAGGTGAAATAAGCTGTGAGGAGAAGGGGTGGGAGACGAATCTACACAACACGTGACCACTACTTGTTACTTTCCTCTCATTGTGTGTGTGTGTGAGTCCTTCCTTCTGGAGCCTGACTCATCCCTTCACTCCCTCCAGTGTTACCTTCCCTCTCACCTGTAAATAAGATATACTAATTTTTTTTCATTTTTTTTCCTTTTAAGATTTGGTTAATGAGGCAATTAGTTACCTGTTTAAGTGAGGTTAATTATTAGTGTTATATGTATAAGTATGGTTAATTATTAGTGTCACCTGTAAAAATTAGGTTAATTATCTCACTTGTATAAGTAATGACTGATTATATACGTGTTAAAGCGTGACCAAGGTTGACCTCCTATACCACCGCTTGTCTCTGGTGACCGAAGTAACTAACACACACACACACACACACACACCTTGAGATATATACACCATGAAACCGCGACAATTCTTCATCTTTGATATTAAATAGATTTCTTAAGGCCATTCAGGTGTGTGTGTGTGTGTGTGTGTGTGTGTTCCAAAAGGTATTATCTCGGCAAACAAACGAATTAAATTGAACAAACATATACTAAATATATATATATATAAATATATATATATATATATATATATATATATATATATATATATATACTAAATATATATATATAAAATCAATAACAATTCCTGTCATCCATATTAGAGTATAATACAAAATTCCTCTGGTGAATAAAATCGATTAAGTTGGAAAATATATTCTGAATTCGTCGCGTTCAGTTAGGCGGGGCACACGTTCAGTGAATGATGGGTCTTCGAGTGGTGATGACGTCAAGGTAAATATTTTAGTTGCCGTACATTTCTCAAGATAAAAGATACCGTTAAGTTATATTTCTGTTTAATTTGGCTTAATTCTTCTTAGATTTTATTTTAAGATAAGTGAATGGTGTTTGATGGTGGTGTGGTGGGTGAGTAAGAGTGTGGGAATGTGTGGAAGGTGTCCGCAGTGAGCGACCTTCTTGTAGGAACCGTTGCTGCCGTGCCTGCCTGGGAGAAAGCTCATACAGTCCAGTCTTCTTTACATCCTTATTAGTTTTACACCAGTACTCCAGACTCTATAACCACAATAATTATGCGGTGTTTGTTTTAAATCTTTATATAGTGGTAATAGTCATAGGAAGGTAGCGTGTGTACAAGTGTTCATTTTCGTTCGGTTTACACGGCATCCACTGTACTGACCGTCATCAGTAGGCCATTTTACTGAAGAGAAATTCGCTTGTTGATGACGGAATGTAGCGCTGAATCCGCTGTTTGTAGAGGTTATTCTGCCGTGTTTGGAAGAGGGAACTTAACAGCTTATTGTTATTGTAGCTCTTGACTCTTAACGGCAGTAAGGATGAATGATTGGTGGTGAGTTAAGAGTGTGTGTGTGTGTTTGCTTCCACTAATTTACAGTTATTTAAATATACTTATCATCATTGAAAGAATTTAACTGTCCGTTCAAAACCTCATTTGAGTCATAAAGAAAATTCCCCCAAAAGGTATACTGTACAGTGTAAACTTTTGGACAACGAAGACAGATTAACACCTTCCTTCTCAATGACAATAAAATAATAATAATAATGAAAGTGGTTTACAACACTGAATACTGAACTTTGCCACATTTTCACGCGAGGAGGCAGTGTGGAAGGCCCTGTACTTGACCTTATTTTCCCCCCAAGTGTTAAGTTAGGTGTCTATTCCCAGCTGAGTGTCTAGGAGTGATTGGTTCGATTTAGAGGCTATTAGAACAGTACCATATTGACTCGCCCTTTGTCACCATAATATTAATAATAATAATAAAAAGTAACTGATAACGTTTCTCAAATAAATGTAACATGAATGATTATTTTTTTTAATGTATTGAGATTTTTTAAGGAATAAGAGGTCGCGCTCCAGTCAATGACAGTGTACCAGACAGTTGCCTCCTAGATCTAGACTACAGAGGAAAAGTTAACTATACATGGTTGACCTCGTGGAACCGCTACGGATAATGACGCTAAAACTGGTCTATCATGTTGAGAGAGACGCAAATACTCCATGGGTAAACAGTGTTTCTGTTTCCTGTTGTGTTTATTTGTCTTAACTGGTCCACGGTTGACACACACAGATATCCATTACCGGAACGACGGCGTCTGATTCGTTCATTATGAGACGAATTTCACTTAACAGGTGTGACTCGAGTGTTTGGTTATCACAAAACTTTATATATTATGCATATATTACTCTCGCTGCCATGTTTGTATTGACAATGACTCGTCTGTTTGTAATCAACCCAACAGTCGGTTCACTACTGAACTAGACACATTCTTACCTGGTATATGTAACGTGAAATAGTTGAGGTGCGGTACAGTGTGTGGCGGGACCTACTGACCCAAAGTGAGACGCGTGAGCCTGGCGTGGTCTTTGGTCATGGTAGGTCAACACTCACACACTTTTCTGTCACTGTGTGTGTGTGTGGTTGTAGACGAGTGGGTATATGCACGTGCTTATAGCATGTATGCCAGTGTATGTGTACAGTATGTACGTTTAATGTGTACACGGGTCTGTGTATGCATGTGCACCTGTACTGCATTAGTGCCTCCGTCACGTCTTTGTACCAGTTTTCCAAAGTTCTTTAATGTTGTTGTTTCTGTTACGGTGCACAAATAACTGCGTTAATATCAGTTAATATTATCTTCAATAAAGTAAATATTACCTTAAATAAAAGAACTGCCAGTAACAGTACTAAATATTTATTATATATTGTATACAGGGTAACATAGAACCGAGACTGGCCGAGATATAAAGTCAAGAGTAAGACACACAGGTAATGACGAGGCCAGACGATTATACCTTATTTTGGCCTCTGTGGAGCAATCCGTATCACTCGGTACACATGTAACCTCGCTGTAATGAGGACACTGGTTCGACGCCCTCGTCACCATAAACATTTGAACACGGTGTAGGCAGAGGGAGGGAAGGAATCGCTCTGAGGAAATTGAATATTATCGACGAGATAAATCTTATTTATTATCAGTAATAATACCATGAATATCACTTACATCTAATTTATATTTTTATGAAATTTTAATTCATTGTTAATTATGAATCGTTTGTATTATCACTTATATCTTATTTATTATGTCTGATAAATTATTTTGTTATAACTAAAGAAACTATTGAATACCACATAAATCATTATACTGAGATCCCAAGGTATATTTGGACCGTAACTTAAGCTGCACCGTAATGACAAACTCACTAGGCTCTGAAGGCGTTAAGTCGAAACTATTTTATGTAGGTTAAGGTAAACCACTTTCTTGACATTACTGAACCTGTGTACTCTGCCTCACCACTATTACAGCCTTGTGATATTGTTTGGTTCGGTAATGTTGCTTGTGCTTGTTCAAAAGTTGGTTGTGTATTCGTGTCAACAGTTGCCTTAGAGGTACAGTATGTGAACTATGGACGGTAGATTAATAATGGTGTTTGTATTCTGAAAGTTATCATTACTTGTGTGTGTGTGTGTGTGTGTGTGTGTGTGTGTGTGTGTGTGTGTGTGTGTGTGTGTTGATTACATATAGAATTTTCGTCATGAGTTGTCTGACACTGTGGGTTGAAGGCGAAAGAAAAATGTTCCTGGAAGTCTGAAAACCTTACCCCATATAACTAAGAGCAATGTGAGAATACAGTAAACTTAATTATTGATGCATTATAGTACAGGAGTTGAAACCCTAAGATTTTATATTCCATTCCTTCATCTTACATTATTTTAAGATTTATCATTGAATTAAATGGTGGAGTTTTCCAGCATACATTAATAATTGTATATACCTGTAGTAGGCCTGGTAATGAAGGCTGTATCTCTCCATTGGTTTGTGTCGGTGTATTTAATTTAACATTATCTTCAACAGCAATCCTCCTGCTGGTGGGTGTGGTGGTGTTCCCTGCTGGATGGGCCGCGGGAGAGGTGAGGAAGGTATGTGGCCCCACTGCTCGCCAGTACAACATGGGGGAGTGTGAAGTACGCTGGGCCTACATCCTGGCCATCATCGGGATCCTTGATGCTGCCGTGCTGTCTGCCCTTGCTTTTGTCCTCGCCACTCGCCATGTCAAACTGCAGGCCGAGCCAGAGCCCTTGTATGGTGGCTCTGTGTACAAAGGTGAGGCTTTTTAATCATAGTATTGACGTAGGTGAGGCTTTTTAATCATAGTATTGACGTAGGTGAGGCTTTTTAATCATAGTATTGACGTCTGTGGTTCTCAGTTTTATACAGATGTAACTTGTATCTGACTTCTGATTAAATAAAATGTAAATATTATTTTATCAATTTCTTACACTACTACTCTCACACATCAGTTTGAATGTGTCTATATGTCCCCTTTATTCTCTCCGTTTCAACCACCTCATCACTTTTTTCAACACAACATGAATCAGAGGTAAAGTTTTGAGTCAAGTTTAATACAGGATATATTAAAGCTTCGTCCTGTTTGATATGGAGATTTATAAATTCATTTTAATTAACCTTGTTTACCTGTCACTCACTATACCTGTATCAAGAAGTGTCCTGGGTGGTGGAGATGAAAGGTCAGGACTTGTTTGTTAATCGTTCTTCCATTCTCTCTGGTTGTCTTGTTTGGAGTCATTTAAAAGTTAGGTTACTACTGTTCTTCCTTCCATAGTGTCAGTAGGTATTGTTTCACCTGTCTATTACTCTTTATTTTCCTTATGTTTATTTTTATCTTTAATTTTGTTGGAATATTAACTCAGGTTGGATTGTAAGTGAAGCAACCTGAATTAACCCCTTCACTACGGGGATGTCACTTATGTATTGTACAGGTATTGAGCTAACGTCAAACGATTGCATTCATGTCAGAGGTGAACCTGTACACAAGGGATTAAGGTGTTTTGTGAACTATTCATTAATAATCTAGAGAGGTTTAATTGTACTGGTAAATTTATTCTTGCCCTCTGTTTCCAGGTCAGATGAATGCTGGCTTTGTGGGTGACGCTGGCAGCCTGGCCGGGTCTCGTAAGTCTCTCAACCTCCAGCCTGTGATGCTTATGCCACATCCAGATAACGACCGGTTTTCCGAGTTCTCTCACCACACTGGACGCTCCAAAAACTCTGCTTACAGGGCACACTATGCTTCCTCTGTACAGAACTTTCAGCTATAGGACATAGAATGAAGGATTTTTTGGAAGGGTATGATCTTGTATAGGACCCAAGAGATGTGTATTCCTCTTATGGAAGTTTAAGTGTTTTTTTTAAGTGTTTTTATGTAATATATTCATTTATAAAGTAATACTCATGTTCAGTTTGCCTTGGCTGAGATATTATATTACAGTATGTTATTTTACACAAGGACTTCACTTGTGTTTGAGATCTACCAACATTATTTTTTATTTTATGGTATTTTGGAAGAGTTTTTTATACCTGTACTGTACTTACCTTTAGAGTAGTGGTCTTACCTTTTGTCAATGGTCTCATGACTGACTGAACTGTAAACTTCTAATACAGAAAAGAGCATTTTATCAAGACTTATCTTATTTTGTACGTAATTGTAATATATAAGATAGATTTATTTCTTATTGATAGATGCTTTCAAGGGATTTATAATATTCACTTGGTATAATTCTTAACTCTCTAACTATGAACTGTGATTGCAGTTAAGGGGTGATCCTGACAGAGCTGATCACTACTGCCTTGTTAGATCCTCGGACCATCTAAAACTTCTTGTCTTGGAGGTCACTGCCTGGAAATATATTACTGGAGACAGCACAGTGGATGAAAGCTTGAACACCTGCCTCCTCACTGTGTCATGTTGGAGATACTGTTTGGCGAGGAGTCAGGATGATGAATGTATGATTTGATTAGGATTTTTTATTGGACTTGTGTACAGTTCCCCATAAAAGTCCTGTCGTCTCTCCTTCACGAACCCAGAGATTCAGATTCATGAACCCGAAGTAATAGATTCCGATGCATCTTTCTGTCCATAAATGATTCTGGTTCACGAGTCTGAATCTCTGGGTTCGTGGTTCAGGAGGAAAGGCGACAGGACTTTCATAGGTGACTGTACTGTACTGTATGGTAGATTCATAATTTGATATTTTTGACATTGAATAATTGTACTGTACTGTTATATGTAGCCTGTTCATTAACACTTGTAGTAATTAATGCTTTATTTATCAAAGTCATGGGCTAAGAATCAATTTAATTTGTTGTTGAAGATGTTATATGTGTTATAACTGTGTACTGTATATACCTGTATAGGAAATTAAGTCGTAGCTTTTTGTAATTTGACTGTGTGTAGTTCTTATTACTCCTCTATTAATTGATTAGATCCAGATTGATTAATAACCATAGAAAAAGGCAATTTTCTTTTTTAATTTTAAGAGTAACAATTGTAGATACCGGATACTACTTAATAAACTATAATTTCTGTTGATGGCGTTTTTGTCGGTAATGTTTTCATCAGATTGACTGTAGATGAAGTTGACTATGTTGATGTAATGTACTGTAGAGTTTCTTGTAGATCACCAAACTGTATTGTACATCAGCACCTGCACACTTAGTAGTAGCATGAGAACAGTACAGTACATAAAATCTTGGGTGGACTTGATGGTGGAACAACCCTCAAACATCCTGCTGAGGGAGGGGGGAGAGTAAGCCATTAAACACTGGACGACTGTGGAACAATCCTTGGGTGAATTAACATCTTACCTAAGGGGTGAGGGTAACCTGTTAGTTGCTAAATGACGATGGATCAACTTTGGGGGGAATTACAGTAGTAGTGCACCCTGCCAGAGGGTGTTGATAGTCCAATAGTTACTGAATAATGATGGAACAACACTTGAGTGGACTGATATCCTGCCCTTTGGAAAAGACGAGTGTGTTACAGTTTTTCTTTAGATTGTGTAATGAACTGTAGCAAGAAATAGAAATACAAACCAGTGCTGTACTTGGAAAAAGAGAGCCATGAGGTAGTATAGTTGTGGGGATTGTAGCAGTATGATGAGTTTGTAGAAATTTTGATGGGTAGTCTAGTTAATGTAGATAACATTATCTAAAGAGCTTTCGGGGTAAAAAAAATTGCCATTGCTAGAATTTATTCATATACAGATTATGAGTCATAAGATCTGTTAAGTATTGGCTTTACTTCATTGATAAGTTAGTAAATAGATGACATGTTTCAGGGCTGTGAGTGATGGTTTAGGAGAGGAAACATGAGGACATCTTTTGCCCTACACTACAGTAGTTGTAAGTGAGAGCATCATGCATTGTGATCAGTAGCAGTGGAAAAGAAAATGAGTGAACAACTGAAATTCATGCAACAATTGAAAACTACAATAAAGTACCAGAAAAGAAAGATATTGCACTGAACTGCAACATCAGAGGTACAGCACATACAGGTAAGCCATTATTCATGTACTGTATCTCTATCTAAAATCTATTAATGTTTTCTCAAGCATTTGGTTCTATAAATTTCTTGTAAATCGATACAAGGAATAGTAGAATTAATTTGAGTTTAAAGATGAAATTAAAAAGATACTAATTCCATGTTGGCGATGACAAGCTCCTCGGCGTCACCATAGACAACAAACTAAATTGGAAACCACACGTCAGTGAAGTTGTCAAATCCTCCAGTTTCCGTCTCCACCTCCTCCGCCGACTCAAGTCCCTCGGAGTTCCCGCACACGAGCTCCTCAGTGTATACACAACATTCATACTTCCCAAGCTCACCTATGCCTCCCCCACCTGGTCTTCCTCCCTAAATGCCACACAACGTAAACACCTAGAAAAAGTGCAAAAGAAGGGCATGCAAGATTATTCTCTCCTTCCTACTCCACATATCAAGAAGCGCTCAACACACTGACCCTTTCGACTCTCACTGACCATCACCACGGCCTCATCTGCAAATTTGGTAGAGCTTCTACACCATCCCGACACCGGCCCTACTACCACCTGAGAATCCTGTCCGAGAATGGCTTTCGACACCACAACCGCATCCAGCCCATACGTGCACGAACTGATCGCTATAAGAACAGCCCAGTCCCAACCATTGTAAAAATTATCAATAACATGTAATAAATCAGTGTATTCACTCCCAGTAAACACTGCTTCCCTACACTGTCACTATGTTGAAATGAACTGTAGTTTGAGCTGATCCCCATCTAAGTTACTATATGTCTCTTGTGTCACTTATGTCACTTGTATATTATTTGTAATTCGTAACCCATTCCCCAAATATGTAACTGTATATTTTCAGCCTTCTGGCTGCCAAGCTCTTTCAATAAACCGTTAATTATTATTATTATTATTATTATTAAAATGTGCTGTTGTGTGGTTACTTTCCTGTACGAGTATTGTGGTTAGTTTTTTAACAATATACAGTACAGTTCCAGGCTTCTTTTTCCCATTATGAAGGGAGAGACTCGACTTTCTAGGACAAATGGAAAAAATTGTGTAAGAATGGATGGTATTTGAATACCTAAAACAAGTGAGGGGGAAACATTTGAGCACAGTACAGTCTAAAAATGTAGGTGTTCAAATTTGCATTTGAGAGTTTTTTAAAAATATTCTTACTCTGTGGTACACTTACGGTTCACTCACCACCTCCATAGAAACCAAGCGATGACAGGCACTTTGCAAATAATAGTTATTCTTAAATTACAACAAATTAATGGCCAAGTACCTTATAATGAAGTATAAAATGGTGTACCCTATAGAAGTAAAAGTTTTCTTTTACGTTTTCTGTAACTTGTAGGGGACACTTAACCAAAGGTGTGTCCCGCGTCAGTAATGAAGGCACAAATGTAGAGGAGGGCCTAAGAAACAAAATACAGTATATAAGAGTATAATTTAAAAGGTTAAGATTCGGTAAAGACTAACCACAGAACTCTACAGCGTGACAGTGTATAAGGGACAGTTGATGATGCATAAACTAAATAGAACTTTGATCACTTCCATAAAATAACCAATTTACCATTACCTGTGTTAATTTTAGTTATTTTAAGATTCCAGTGAGGATAATTGTGAGATTATGTCATTATAATTCATATTATATGATGTGTACAAACATAATATCCCACCAACAGTTAATATGTATATGAAAAGTTGTAATGGTTAATTGTATGTCTTCGTCCAGCCAATATACTACTTTACCTTTCATATAAAGTGTTAGAGTATCTCATTGATGTGTTTGTGTACTTTGTGGGTGAGGAAGTTCAGCACCTGTTCGGTCACTCTAAGTCAAAGATACTTGTGCATTCTGTCCTTGAGGGGGATTCTGTTGGCTTGTTTATTTCCCATATAATCCTTCACGGGTTCAGCGGTAACAAGGGAGAGAACTGAAGTACCAAGAGAAAACCTGTCATGTTCGGTATAACACCAACGACACTTTCAATTCCATACTAATTAAAATACTCACTTGGATGGCTAGAGACAACACCACTAACAACATCAATATTTACCATCAGCAAAAGATACTACTGACCTCTTGAGATGAGAAACAAAAACGCTTTATGGATATCATGGCACATTACAGTAAATTGAGTGTATGAAAAGAGCGGTGAGAGGGCCACTTGAGCTCCTTCGCTTATCAGGCGCGGGGAGAATGTTCGTTAGCTACTTTACCCGCTAACGTTACACGCCCAGACCTACCTTACCACCCTTCATTGGTATATTAACCCTTATTACCACCACTCTTGGCTTGTCTTAATCCAAAATATATTGACGGTGATCATTAGTATGTGTTACGTCTTTTCAGCCCAGTTCCTGCCTCTCCTGGTATGAGTAATAATGTTTTTTTTTACTGAGCTTCAGGGGTTTATTCTAGCGGGACTCAACCCATTGTCAAATTCCTGTTCATCCTACTTTACCAAATCGAATAACTCACACAAACAGCTCGACCAATGAAGAACAATGTATGTAGGCCTACACTTTTATATCACACACACACACACCACACACACACACACCACACACCACACACACACACCAGGGAGGCAGCCCACTGGAGCACGAACATGTTGGTGAGACAGGTGGAGGTAAACACAAGAGGTGACGGGGTAAGGCAACATCTATTTATACTCCTTCATAGGTGACGCTGCTGGGTTGGGGGGAAAGAAATGGTAGAGAAAAGTACTGTACTCTATGGGGTGACGATATGGGGTACAAAGATGAGGTGGTACAATACAATAGTGTATAAGGGAGAAATATTATTGAAGTTTTAGGGTACAATGGTGACGTTATGAGAGTACAATGGTGACGCTAGAGGGTACAGTGGTAATATGAGGGTACAGTGCTGATGTTATGAAAGTACAGTGGTGACGTTATATGGTACAATGGTGATGTTTGAAAGAACTGTTGTTGTGAAGATTCAGGGGTGTTGTGAATGTGTTGTGCCGTGTTAGTGATGAGCCGTCACTCAGGTTGACGCGCGTGAAGTGATGTCATGTTTATAGAGCAGCCAACGCCAGCCAGTCAACTCACACCTAACACAACGCTATCTGGGCAGGTTTGGGTTAAATCTTGGTAGGTTTGTGTTGTCTATGAAATGCCAAGTCACACGCCAATCATAGTATGGCTGACGAGCGCTTTTTTGTAGTATATACTGTATGTGTGTTTGTGAATGTATTACAGTACTCTGTATATGTGTGTAGGTTAAATAAATATATTTATTTCAAATTAGTGAAATAACGAAAAAAATTATACAGGAATTGGAAAATTATTGCTTGAACAAGTACGGTATTTATTTCAATGGTATCACCAAGAAGACTAATGTTACGAAATTACCCAGGATATACCGTCTGTCTGTGTGATAACCTAACCTAACTTCACAATTTTGCGATAGCTGTGGTAGGGATTGTTTTGGCTCGTATGCTCGGTTAGTTGCTGACGCTAGAAAAACAAAAACAAATCATGAACCTGTCTGAGGATATCCTAAAGGAACTACTCAAACAAGCTAACGACTTGTTAGTAACGAGGCACTAGCACCGAGTCAGTTACCAGACAAAGGAAGGAAGCAGGAGGGCCGGACGCGTCAACAAGAGGATGTAAGGAAGGACGCGATGCCTTTAAACTTCCCGGCAGCAACTTATCCTCCCCTAGTTTACTTTTTCTTTACTGTTTCGCTAAATGTGAGTGTTCATGGATATTCTTGGCAACACAACATTGCTTCACTTCGCTGCCCGACACCGGTAAGTGCAACTCTATTATGTGTTGCTAGCAAAATTGTTCATGCATTATCTCGTTTATATTAGTCTTTCGTTTTTCATCTTTGGTGACATTTATTACTTCTTAACCTGTAGGGTCGTTATTCGTTGAGTGATGACACATAAGTTGACGTGAATATGTAAATTGAGGTTTATTTACCCGCGTGGCGAATGTTTATTTACTGGCGTTACGTTATCAGAGATGATGGTGGCGGGTCGCACCCTTTAAA